TCAGAGATGTAGTAATGTTAGGGTGTTATGTTTTGGCGCTGGATGAGAAACGTAGTAATGTTAGTGTGTTATGTTATAGGGGTGGGTCAAAGAGGTAGTAATGTTAGTGTCTTATGTTTTGGCGGTGGATCAGAGACGTAGTAAAGTTAGCGTGTTATGTTATAGGGGTTGGACATATACGTAATAATGTTAGCGTGTTATGTCGTGGAGGTGAGTCAGAGACGTAGTAATGTTAGCATGTTATGTTGTAGAAGTGGATGGGGGACGTAGTAATGTTGGCGTGTTATGTTTTGGCGGTGGATCAGAAACGTAGTAATGTTAGCGTGTTATGTTGTGGAGGTGGGTCAGAGATGTCGTAATGTTAGCATTTCATGTCATGGAGGTGGGTCAGAGACGTTCTAATGTTAGCGTGTTATGTTTTTGAGCTTTGTCAGAGACGTAGTAATGTTAGCATGTTATGTTGTGGAGGTGGGTCAGAGATGTAGTAATGTTAGCGTGTTATGTTGTGGAGGTGGGTCAGAGACGTAATGATCTTAGCGTGTTTTGTCGTGGAGCTGGGTCAGAGATGTAGTAATGTTAGCATGTTATGTTATAGGGGTGGGTCAGAGACGTAGTAATGTTAGTGTGTTATGTCGTGGAGGTGGGTCAGAGATGTAGTAATGTTAGCATGTTATGTTATAGGGGTGGGTCAGAGACGTAGTAATGTTAGTGTGTTATGTCGTGGAGGTGGGTCAGAGATGTAGTAATGTTAGCGTGTTATGTCCTGGAGGTGGGTCAGATACGTAGTAATGTTAGCGTGTTATGTCGTGGAGGTGGGTCAGATACGTAGAAATGTTAGCGTGTTATGTCGTGGAGGTGGATCAGAGACGTAGTAATGTTAGTGTGTTATGTCGAGGAGGTGGGTCAGATACGTAGTAATGTTAGCGTGTTATGTCGTGGAGGTGGGTCAGATACGTAGTAATGTTAGTGTGTTATGTCCTGGAGGTGGGTGAGAGACGTAGTAATGTTAGTGTGTTATGTCCTGGAGGTGGGTCAGATACGTAGTAATGTTAGTGTGTTATGTCCTGGAGGTGGGTCAGATACGTAGTAATGTTAGTGTGTTATGTCGTGGAGGTGGGTCAGATACGTAGTAATGTTAGTGTGTTATGTCGTGGAGGTGGGTCAGATACGTAGTAATGTTAGCGCGTTATGTCGTGGAGGTGGGTCAGATACGTAGTAATGTAAGTGTGTTATGTCCTGGAGGTGGCTCAGATACGTAGTAATGTTAGTGTGTTATGTCGTGGAGGTGGGTCAGATACGTAGTAATGTTAGTGTGTTATGTCGTGGAGGTGGGTCAGAGACGTGGTAATGTTAGCGTGTTATGTTGTAGAAGTGGTTGAGAGACGTAGTAATGTTAGCGTGTTTTGTCGTGGAGGTGGGTCAGATACGTAGTAATGTTAGCTTGTTATGTCGTGGGGGTGGGTCAGATACGTAGGACTGTTAGCATGTTATGTCCTGGTTGTCGGTCAGAAACGTAATAATGTTTGAGTGTTATGTGATGGGGGTGGATCAGAGAGGTAGTGATGTTAGCGTGTTATGTTTTTGCGGTGGATCAGAGACGTGGTAATGTTAGCGTGTTATGTCCTGCAGGTGGGTCAGAGACGTAGTAATGTTGGCGTGTTATGTCATGGGGTTGGATCAGAGAGGTAGTAATGTTAGCGTGTTATGTTTTGGAGGTGGGTCAGAGATGTAGTAATGTTAGCGTGTTATGTCCTGGAGGTGGGTCAGAGATGTAGTAATGTTAGCGTGTTATGTCGTGGAGGTGGGTCAGATACGTAGTAATGTTAGCGTGTTATGTCGTGGAGGTGGGTCAGAGACGTAGTAGTGTTAGTGTGTTATGTCGTGGAGGTGGGTCAGATCCGTAGTAATGTTAGCGTGTTATGTCGTGGAGGTGGGTCAGATCCGTAGTAATGTTAGCGTGTTATGTCGTGGAGGTGGGTCAGAGACGTAGTAATGTTAGTGTGTTATGTCGTGGAGGTGGGTCAGATACGTAGTAATGTTAGTGTGTTATGTCCTGGAGGTGGGTCAGATACGTAGTAATGTTAGCGTGTTATGTCGTGGAGGTGGGTCAGAGACGTAGTAATGTTAGCGTGTTACGTCGTCGAGGTGGGTCAGAGACGTAGTAATGTTAGTGTGTTATGTCGTGGAGGTGGGTCAGATACGTAGTAATGTTAGTGTGTTATGTCGTGGAGGTGGGTCAGATACGTAGTAATGTTAGCGTGTTATGTCCTGGAGGTGGGTCAGAGACGTAGTAATGTAAATGTGTTATGTCCTGGAGATGGGTCAGATACGTAGTAATGTTAGCGTTTTATGTCGTGGAGGTGGGTCAGAGACGTAGTAATGTTAGTGTGTTATGTCGTGGAGGTGGGTCAGATACGTAGTAATGTTAGTGTGTTATGTCCTGGAGGTGGGTCAGGTACGTAGTAATGTTAGCGTGTTATGTCGTGGAGGTGGGTCAGATACGTAGTAATGTTAGCGTGTTATGTCGTTGAGGTGGGTCAGAGACGTAGTAATGTTAGTGTGTTATGTCGTGGAGGTGGGTCAGATACGTAGTAATGTTAGTGTGTTATGTCCTGGAGGTGGGTCAGATACGTAGTAATGTTAGCATGTTATGTCCTGGTTGTCGGTCAGAAACGTAATAATGTTTGAGTGTTATGCGATGGGGGTGGATCAGAGACGTAGTAATGTTAGCGTGTTAGGTTTTGGCGGTGGATCAAAGACGTGGTAATGTTAGCGTGTTATAACGTGGAGGTGGGTCAGAGATGTAGTAATTTTAGCTTGTTATATCGTAGAGGTGGGTAAGGGATGTAGTAATGTAAGCGTGTTATGTCGTGAAGGTGGATCAGAGACGTGGTAATGTTAGCGTGTTATGTCGTGGAGGTGGGTTAGAAATGTAGTAATGTTAGCGTGTTATGTCGTGGAGGTGGGTCAGAGACGTAGTAATGTTAGTGTGTTATGTCCTGGAGGTGGGTCAGATACGTAGTTATGTTAGTGTGTTATGTCCTGGAGGTGGGTCAGATACGTAGTAATGTTAGCGTGTTATGTCCTGGAGGTGGGCCAGAGACGTAGTAATGTTAGTGTGTTATGTCGTGAAGGTGGGTCAGAGATGTAGTAATGTTAGTGTGTTATGTCGTGGAGGTGGGTCAGAGACGTAGTAATGTTAGTGTGTTATGTCGTGGAGGTGGGTCAGAGACGTAGTAATGTTAGTGTGTTATGTCATGGAGGTGGGTCAGATACGTAGTAATGTTAGTGTGTTATGTCGTGGAGATGGGTCAGAGACGTAGTAATGTTAGCGTGTTATGTCGTGGAGGTGGGTCAGAGACGTAGTAATGTTAGTGTGTTATGTCGTGGAGGTGGGTCAGATACGTAGTAATGTTAGTGTGTTATGTCCTGGAGGTGGGTCAGATACGTAGTAATGTTAGCGTGTTATGTCCTGGAGGTGGGCCAGAGACGTAGTAATGTTAGCGTGTTATGTCGTGGAGGTGGGTCAGATACGTAGTAATGTTAGTGTGTTATGTCCTGGAGGTGGGTCAAATATGTAGGAATGTTAGCATGTTATGTCCTGGTTGTCGGTCAGAAACGTAATAATGTTTGAGTGTTATGTGATGGGGGTGGATCAGAGAGGTAGTAATGTTAGCGTGTTATGTTTTGGAGGTGAGTCAGAGATGTAGTAATGTTAGCTTGTTATATTGTGGAGGTGGGTAAGGGATGTAGTAATGTAAGCGTGTTATGTCGTGAAGGTGGATCAGAGACGTGGTAATGTTAGCGTGTTATGTCGTGGAGGTGGGTTAGAAATGTAGTAATGTTAGCGCGTTATGTCGTGAAGGTGGGTTAGAGATGTAGTAATGTTAGCGTGTTATGTCGTGCAGGTGAGTTAGAGATGTACTAATGTTAGCATTTTATGTCGTCGAGGTGGGCACAGACGTAGTTATGTTGGCATGTTATGTCATGGGTGTGGATCAGAGAGGTAGTAATGTTAGCGTGTTACGTTTTGGCGGTGGATCAGACAAGTAGTAATGTTAGCGTGTTATGTTGTGGAGGTGGTTCAGAAATGTCATAATGTTAGCATTTTATGTTGTGGAGGTGAGTCAGAGACGTAGTAATTTTAGCTGAATATGGGTGGAGATGTTGTAATGTTAGCGTGTTATGTCGTAGGGGAGGATCAGAGACGTAGTAATGTCAACGTGCTCTGTCGTGGTGGTGGGTCAGAGGCGTTGTAATGTAAGCGTGTTATGTTGTTGAGGAGGGTCAGAGACGTAGTAATGTTATTGTGTTGTGTCGTGGAGTTGGGTCAGAGACGTTGTAATGTTAGCGTGTTGTGTTGTGGGGTTGGGTATTAGACAGTCACAAACTGGGCTGGTATGTATCAGAGGATGGTTTGACACTCTAATGAGGTGAGTTACTGTGAAGTGCGGTGCGGTGCGGTGCGGTGAGGTGGATGAGGTGAGGTGAGGCGAGGCGAGGCGAGGTGAGGTGAGGCGAGGTGAGGTGAGGTGAGTACATTCCGCTCTCCGGGCGGACGCTCTACCATGGGACCACCTAGGCGGTCGACACTGTACTGATTGGGGAGGTGGGGGGATATCGTGGAGGTTAGTTTGACACATAAGTGTTGTGGGGTTGTATGTCGTAGAGGTGCCTTTAACACAGGAATGTTGTTGGATGGTATGCCGTGGAGGTTGGTTTTAAGACCTCCGTGTGCGGTGTGTGGTGGATAACGTCAATCCTAGTGCCCAGACATTCCAGTGGTCTCAAAATAGGCAAACGAGTACTGGGTCGACATCCCTCAAACGTAACATATCCAAGTCTGACCAAGGAGAACTGACCTGTACTGCTGATAATGGACACATGATGGCACCTGGAAGGGCAGCTAGTACAATATATATTGCCTTCCCTAATTTGTGTGATAAGAATCTCATATGCCGTAATTACTCTCATTATACCTCTTCCTTTGGTCGTCTCAGTCTCTGGAACTGTAATCCACCTGGAGCCGCCAGGAAGTGTCCTCAACGCCCTCCTTGGTCAGGTGATCAGTGTCGTGTGTGTGGTCGACTACTCCAACTCCCCGGTCACTTCGTTCCGCTGGACACACAATGGACAGCCCTACAGTGGACAGACCTTCAGTAAAACAGTAACATCCAAGTCAGACTCTGGCAATTTAACATGCAGTGTAGGGAATGTCCACGCCTCCACTCGAATCAACGTGTGGTGTAAGTGATTTACATGAACAATATTATTTTGTCAAAAGGGTACAAATATGGTGATAATTATGTGAACAAAAAGACAATACCTACATTGCTCATTTTAAGAATTACGAAAGTCATGAGTGGGTACGCTTCTAGGATAAACGTACGGATCGTGACATCGGGTTTAAGTGTTTTTTATTAAGTAGAAGATGATACAAATTGTGTGTGGATATGTAACAAACCCCTTGGTTGATGCGGGAGGATACACATAGCTATCAGTTCGTCCGAGTGTACTTCGGGTAGGATGAGGTTGTGGTATTGCGGAATGTTTAGATGCCTCTCTTTTTAACACTTATGTAATGGAGTTTCCAAGCGGTGTTGTATTACATATAATGATACAACTAATCTCTGGCTTGATCCTTAACAACTTCAGACTCGCCAGTGGTACATCTGGAACCAAGAAATGACACCCTGGATGTCGGTGTGGGTGAAGACCTCCGTGTACAGTGTGTAGTGGATGACGCCAACCCAAATGTCTACACATTCCAGTGGTCTCACAACGGACAAACGAGTACTGGGTCGACATTCCTCAAGCGTAACATATCAAAGTCTGACCAAGGAGAACTGACCTGTACTGCTGATAATGGACACATGATGACACCTGGAAGGGCAGCTACAACAATACATGTAACATGTAAGGCCCAGTATTGCTTTCCCTAATTTATGTGATGCGAATCTTTTATGCCGTAATTACCCTCATTATACCTCTTCCTTTGGTTGCCTCAGTTCCAAGGAATGTTTCTATTATAATAAGAACAATTTTCAGCTGCCCTGGTAATCCACCTGGAGCCACAAGGAAGTGTTCTCAACGTCCTCCTTGGTCAGGTGATCAGTGCCGTGTGTGTGGTCGACTACTCCAACTCTCCGGTCACTTCGTTCCGCTGGACACACAATGGACATCCCTACAGTGGACAAGCCTTCAGTAAAACAGTAACATCCAAGTCCGACTCTGGCAGTTTAACATGCAGTGTAGGGAACGTCCACGCCTCCACTCGAATCAACGTGTGGTGTAAGTGATTTATATGAAAATTATTATTATGTCAAAAGGGTACAAATATGGTGTTAATTATGTGAACAAAAAGAAAATACCTACATTACCCATTTTAAGAATTACGAAAGTCATGAGTGGGTACGCTTCTAGGATAAACGTAAGGATCGTGACATAGTGTTTACGTGTTTTTTATTAAGTAGAAGATAATACAAACTGTGTTTGGATATGTAACAAACCCCTTGGTTGATGCTGGAGGATACATTTAGTTATTAGTTCGTCCGAGTGTACTTCGGATAGGATGAGGTTGTGGTAGTGCGGAATGTTTAGATGCCTCTCTTTTTTTGTAGTTCTCAAGCTGTATTGTAAAGTGCCGGGCAAAAGAAACTTATCACTTGCAAATTGAGTTTTTTTCTGAATAATAGACTTGCGATAAGTTATCGGAAAATATTCACCAAAACACATCCTGTGCACATATGAAAGTCACGTTTTGCAGGATTCAGTGAATTTCCGTGCAGTCATGATAAATGGGAAAACAGGATCTTGGAGAACTGTGGCCACACACAGGCCACACACAAGCCCGTCCAAGATCGTGGAGACCCAGGGTCGCAATGCCAGTTGGAGACCGCTACATCCGGACAATACACCTGAGTAACCGATACGTGACGGCGACGTCAACGGCGGCGACGGCTATGGGACACCCCGTCAGCAGACGAACAGTCTTACGGCGACTCCACATTGGTGGTATCAGAGCCTACTGCCTCCTCCGTGAAATGGCCTTGGCCTCTCTACACCGTCCGAGCAGATTACAATGGGCAAGAACTGTACGTCTGTGTCAGAGGCGTGATTGGGAAAGGGTGCTGTTTATAGATGAAAGTCGCTTTAACTTGTAGCTGAACGACCGGCACCTAACTGCATCCAAGATGTGCACCCTTATGGTGGAGGGTATGGGGCGGACAACAAGGCTTGTTATCATCCGTTGGAATCTGACTGGCCAAAGATACAAGGTCGAAGTGTTGCGACCTGTTGTAGTGCCATTCTTACGTGGACAGCCAAGGGGTACCCTTTTGCAGCAGGATAATGCACGACTCCATAGCGCAAGACTTGTTCACCAATATCTGCACAACGTTAACATCAACGTATTGTCTTGGCCAGCGTTTCTCCAGACATGAATCCCATAGAGCATCTCTGGGATCATCGTGATCGACAGCTGAGACAATGCGTCCCTCCCCAGCAAACAGACAGCAGCTTGAAGAGGTTTTATTGGACTAGTGGCGCAGAATTCCTGCTGAAGTCATCCGGCGACTGACGACATCCATGATTAGACATATTTTGGTGCAGGGGGTGATCTCACACGCTACAAAGGACATGTCTTGTCACATGATTTGACATTATGAGCACCTTTTGAATGGACTCGTGTTTATGTTGTTTTTATTTTGACGCCATGTCTCTTTCGCTCGGCCTTATGGAGATTACACTATCAATATGGCATTACAATTATGTACAGACATCGTAAAATGATTCCTTTCATTACAATAATCATCATATCGATAACATCTCTCTTTTTATGGAGCTCCTAAACAAGGTGATAAGTTTCTTTCGCCCGGCAATTTATTATATAGAATGACTCCACCAATCTCTTGATTGATACTTAATGTCTTTAGACCCGCCGAAACTTGCTACAAACATGTGTTTATGTCTCATGTTTATTTATATATAGGCAGGTGATGAAAAGTACTTTTGAGTCACATATGCTGTTGTTCTTTTTATCTTATTTCACCTAAGATCCTCCAAAATACACCAACAGGTCATCATTGTCAAACAGGGTGGAGTCGTAACACAATAGTGTTTCCTGTTAAAAATAGTTTGTCGATTGATATTTATAATAATACACAGTTCTCGAATTTCAGCATAATGTGGGCATAAAAACAGTACATGATATTCGTCTTCGTCTCCTTCTCCACAATATGGACGTAATAGGTCTAACGGATTGTGATATGTACATGTTTATAAGTGTTCATTTTAAAGCTGTTTGGACAGCATCTAAATTTAGTTATAGATTTTCTTATGGAGGCAGATCTTATACATTTTAAATATTTTTTCAATATTTAACAAGGATTTCAATGTACAATATGTGGATAAAAGTGAGGAATTGTTAAGACAATGATGCCATTGTTGGCTGTCTATATCTAACAAAAGTTGTTTAAATGCTGACATAAATGATTTACTATTACAAACTTCTTTGCACATTCAATCAAAACCAAAACCATGAGGATACAAGAACAGTCTCACTGCACATGTTCAGTTTATGTAACCCGAATCAGCATCTTTCTATTACACCTTATGCAATGGCGTTTTGTCGCTATGTTGTATTGCTCAGAATGATACCACTAATCTCTGGATTAATTCTTAATGTTTTCAGACCCCACAGTGGTACATCTGGAACCACAAAATGACACCCTGGATGTCGGTGTAGGTGAGGACCTCAGTGTACGGTGTGTTGTGGATGATGGTAACCCTAGTGTCCACACAGTCCGATGGTCTCACAACGGACAAACAGTTACTGGCCATGGGTCGACATTCCTCAAACGTAACATAACCAAGTCTGACCAAGGGCAACTGACCTGTACTGCTGACAATGGACACATGATGACACCTGGACGGGCAGTTGCAACTGTAAACGTTAGATGTAAGCTATGTCAAAAACTATTATATGCATTCTTATAACTTGTTACAAACATGTGTTTATGTGCCATGTTATTTTATATAGACGAGTTATGAAAAATATTTTAAAGTAAGCTATGCTGTTTAAAAATGATTTTTATGAACTAAAAATGATTTGTTCTCTCAGAATTATGTGAATTATGATTTGTAAAACATGTACTTGAATATTATATCTGACATAAGATCCACCAGAGATCCACCTGTCACCAAGGCAAGATGAATTCAGTGCCATGGCTGGTGATGCCGTTGAAGTCGAATGTGTCGTCGACGACGCCAACCCTGCTGTCACCTCCTACACGTGGTGTCACAACGACAATATCAGTCATGGACAGACGTTTATGAAGCATGTGTCTCCTGATGATGCGGGAAACCTATCGTGCTCTGCTACGAATGAACAGGGAACATCTACTGTACAAACAAGCATCAACGTCTGTAAGTAATCCTTTTGTCAGCCTGAACGTTGTGGAACGCACATGTCAGGAACGTTTTACTTGATGGTAAGCAAAACCAGGTACAGTATAATTTCCATTGATATCATCTCTATCCAAGACATATGCATTTGTATATTTGGTATTTGTTAGTGCAATTTCATCCCTTCATTTAGATAATCTGTTCTGTCACAGTGCAAGTTTCCTCGTTGATCGGAAGTGATGACACTACAAGCCAGATTAAACTGATTGCCATAGTAACAGGATCTGTTGGCATAGTTACCATTATCATCCTTATCATCATCATTATTCACCTGAGGAGGAGACTGTATGCTGCAAAACGTACGTGCACTTGTGGTATAACTTGACTGAATCAATGACATGTGATATGCACAATGAAGTACACAATCGTTTCACCATTTAACATTTATTTTAACAATTCTATGCACATATCAAAAGTTATTGTAAATGCTGTTGAATGAAAATAGTATTGAACAAGTCATGTTCTGAAAATAACATTCCTCGACAACTGATTTGCTTGTCATTTTTTTCATTTCTAGCTGAGCATGAGCCAAAGAGGTAAGTGTGTTGTGTTACTGTCTCACGTTTGTTCAGGCTATTTGACAGAGACGTAACAGCCTGTAAAATAAGTAACACGGTCATGGAAATCTACTTACAGTTATGGTGAGAATTACATCGCAACCTGCTCACATTATCATCACAACATCTTAACCAGCCTTTGCTGTTACTTCATGATTCAACTTGTAATATCGAAAAGTCAATTCTCATCCTTTTTTCAAGATATATGATACACAAAACATTCCAAGGTTCGACCGATTCTGCCTGAGATAGTATTTATTATATATATCATTTTGACCAGTGATTGTTGCTTGCTGTGAAAATAATATGTCGTGATTTTATGTAAATTCTTAAGTATAAAATGTTACAAAGACCATTTTAGGCGAATAAATCATCAGGTTGCAAAGGAAGAAAGAAATCTAATGGAATCGATCATGTGATTAAATACCAGAAGGCTTGCCTTTTTGACGAAGGTTTCAAGCTTTAAATAGTATAAAATAATAACGGATAGCTCAGGTGAATGAGGCATTTTAACGAGAGGGTGAGATTTCACCAACACGCTTCCCTCCCTTCACCTCTCGCCTCTATCAGACATTTAGTTTGGATCAAAGTCAAAATTGAAGACAACGTCCTTGAATTCCAAATAACCTTATCTATGTTCTCATCACATCTAACTATATGCACTTGGCGGTGTCTTTAAACCAAAATTAGCAAATTTTGAAAAGAGGAAACTCCAATTCTATAACGTGTGATGGTTATCAAGGTTTTCCCCATGATTTTGTTTTTAATACGAAAATCAAGTGCGGCAAAATTAGCCTCACTGCTTTTCTAACCCTCAAAAGTAAATATATTTTATTTTAATGTAATAAACAAAACATGTTTAATGTGTAATTTCCTCCTGAAAGGTGACATCTACATCTACATGAACCACAATTGCATTTTTGTTCTTTATTTACAACTGACGCCAGAAATCTGTGATTGTGGGTTCGAATCCTAGTTCGCCCCGATTATGTTTCTAGGTTTGTCAGCACCATACCCGTGCTCGTGTGTTTCTTCGAAGTGGGAAACGTCGGAAACCTGCATCACTTCGGGCTTTCCTCCCACATTAAGCTGACACGCCGTGATATAACTGGAATACGGTTAAAAGCACAGTTATGAACCTCACTGCACGTTTATTTGTCAGAGTACATTCGAAGAGCTCTGCGTTTTGAGCTCCTAACATATGCTGAAGAAGACATGATTACAGTGCCCTATTGAGCATAGATCCTCGAATATTTATTTCATAATTGTGTATCTATGATAGATCTGAACAGACGTCAAGGGCAGATGAAATACCTGCAAGATGCTGCAATTACGAGACCGTGGAGCGGCCTAGTGGAGGTACGAACACCAATATTATATATATCATATACTGAATGGTATGAACACCTTAGTTGTAATGTGAGCTGTTACAATGGCTATACACTGGAAACAGAACACCGCCGTAATTTCGAAGGGGAGGGCACTTTTGTGAAGGCGAGTATATGCATTTGAAACTACCTTGAAACGAGTTTTAGTTTCACTTAAATAAGCACTATCGTATCAGTGGATTTTCTGGTCACTATGACTGTACGATACATCGCTTGCTTGATAAAGGTGTTAGGATCTACACCGAACGTCGCACTAATTGTAATAAAGAAGTTGTTCATCCACAGAAATTGTCTTTCTTCATCACACCAACTTCTAAATGCCACTGAAAGAAGTGATGACTGTACGGTCAAGAATATGTCTGTAGGTCGCCCTCGAGTAACAGCAGTACAGCTGTGCGGCGTTGGACAACAAACAGTTACTTTTTTATGCACATTGTGTGAGTGGCGGGGGCTACCGCTGCAACCACACATCGGTAAGATGGTACTAGTTTTTAGACAGAACAGTATGTAAAGCCTGGGAAGTTCCGAAAGTTGGGAATTAATGCATTTTGTCCGGTATTTTGTCTATGACTACTCTGTCTTTCCCTCAGAAAAATAAGAACAGTGTAATTTATGTTCCAGGTGCTGAGAATACCTATTGCGAAGTTGGCTTGTCACAAACAACAGGTAACAGGCAAATGCTTAGCCATCGAGCATACAGAAAATAGTACACCACATATACACTAATTCTTAATGTGATGCTGTTGATAAATATACCATAACATTTCATTGGAGAAACGAAAGAGTACAGAGCCATAGGTAATGATAAAAAATATGATAAGTATTATAAATATTTCATGAAGTCATCATATTGTTCTATGAGTTTAAAATAATTTGTAAACATATGGCGTAAACAGTCAACTTCCATGCAATGGATGACCATTGTAACAAGGCCTTTCAAGTACCCTCAACCACAGCAAGACCTATGTCTTTGCAGTAATGGGTGTCATTCTTTTATGCGCCAGGAAACAAATACTTACTATTTGTTGTAAATTGTGTATGTCGCAGGTGCTACTGGTAGAGCAGGATATGCTTACCCTTTTCACGAACACCTGGTGTCATCACTGATTTTCATGAAACCATTCATGTAATTATCTCCGCTATTTTTGCCCTTTGGACCCAATAGAATCTGTTTCGACGGTTAATTGATATTGTTTATTCTCGAGCGTGGACGTTTCTTTTATCTACACAGAGATAAAACATAAACAAACTTCTTTCTTCGGTTGGTTGGTTGGTTTGTTGTTTAACGCCGCACTTAGCAATATTCCAGCTATATGACAGCGGTCTGTAGATAATCGAGTTTGGACCAGACAATCCAGTGATTAATATCATATATCATGGCTTTTGTTTTGTTTGTTTGTTTGTTTAACGCCGCACGCGGCAATATTCAAGCTTTATGACGGCGGTCTGTAAATAATCGAGTCGGGACCAGACAATCCAGTGATTGACATCATGAGCATCGATCCACGCAACTGGGATCGATGACATGCATCAACCAAGTCAGCGAGTCTGACCACCCGATCCCGTTAGTCGGCTTTTACGACAAGCATAGTCACCTTTTACGGCAAGCATGGGTTGCTGAAGACCTATTCTACCCCGGAATCTTCACGGGTCGCACTACAATTCGTAACTACAGCGCACAGAATTAATTATATTGCATTGTCCTGTATCTCAGTCTTTTGCAACATTTCCTACACATCATCTGTTTTCTTGTGTTACGCACCAGGAAAGGAGAGGAAAGTGAGATCACCCAAAGAACAAGCGTCCAATGATGGTAGGTGGTACAAAACAGTTGAAGAGTCATAACAAAGTGTGCATTTTGTAGCAATGGCTACACATTGTTTACCTGTTGATTGGGCAAGAAGTAGACCTGAAACGTCCTTACAAAGATTAAAATAAGTTGTTATCCATAAATAAGTCCCCCGTATTCAGAAAGAGAGACAGTTTAGTCAGTATACAAGGCCATATGGCCCATAGTACAGTTCAGTTTTAACAGATATATAAAATTCAACGTGATCTTGAACATAGCTTGTTATTACGAGTGTCTTGTGAGATCCATACAAAGGAAAACCCAGTATTAAATAATATGCTCCTTACACTAGACACCCAATTCGTTTTCCCTTCACCATCGAATTTCTTTAGCATTTTGTAACATTGAAATGGGTACCTGTGAGCTTCCATTTCTAATATTTATTATCCACTATTTAACAACACGGAGCTTGCTATGTACCTATATACTTCAGTGACCAGTTTCACCAAGTACTGCCTTATTTGAAGCATATTTACCAATGTATAAAAATTCCTTAAAATACAAAGTGTGACATTTCTCAATGGATTCAAAATAATTAATGCCCCATATTTCCGGGCCGTAGAAGAAAATGGGTAGAATTTTACTATCAAATATTGAAATTTGCTGTTGAAAATAATTTATAAACAGGAAACATTGCCTCAGATGCTTAAAGCGCTAAGGTCTTACAATTTTTTCTGGAGGACATTAATAGTCCTAAATACTTATAATTAGTTCTATGTTTATCACTATATATCCAATTTTCATGCTTCGATACAATTCCACCATTTCTAAAAACAATAACATTGGTTTTGTCAAGGTTTACTTCTGAACCCTTCTTATTACAAAAGGACTGCAATACAAAAAGCTGTTTCCGCAAGCTTACCACACAGAAGGACACCAGAGCAACATCATTCGCGAACAACAATAGCATAATATCACCTTGGGGACACAACTGTGAACAGAGAAGCGCAGCACCTTAGACGACTTGCCATTCAGTCCCTTGTACGAGACCCGTGAAGATTCCGGGGTAGAATAGGTCTTCAGCAACCCATGCTTGCCGTAAAAGGTGACTATGCTTGTCGTAAAAGGCGACTAACGGGATCGGGTGGTCAGGGTCGCTGACTTGGTTGATGCATGTCATCGATCCCAATTGCGTGGATCGATGCTGATGATGTCAATCATTGGATTGTCTGGTCCCGACTCGATTATTTACAGACCGCCGTCATAAAGCTTGAATATTGCCGCGTGCAGCGTTAAACAAACAAACAAACAAACAAAACACAAGCCATGATATAAGTGAAGTACATACCCACTCTTCTGAAATAACACAATGTTCCAGATGGGAATCCTGCCCACGTCTATGGCAACACTGGATTTGAAGATGAAGAAAACATACGTAAAAAAAAAGGTACTTTGTCACCGGTTTAAAGCATAAGGAATCAGATAATGAAAGTTAAGCCTGACCCTCGTTCATCATGCTTTCAGATTCATAAAAACTAGCTCATGATAAATTAAGGATCGTACAACGAACTATTTTAGCAGAGATTTCTTATGAATATGGAAAGGATTTGTCGCTTGTATTCATAAGTAATCCATATGAAATTTCACAAGTATTTGTTTTTGTGTGTACATCCCTTCCTCCACAGGACCGTGCTAATGAAATACACAAGGTAGATAACAGGCTGATGAAATAACCAGCTTAAATTAGTATTCGAAATACTAAGGAGTTATAAAGGACATGTGTATCGATTAATCCGTAGTTCGAGACAAGCAGAGTGCCTGTTTAAGACCCTAGTGACGATAAGGATTAATATTCTGCCAGTACCTTAAAGTAGCTAGTGTTGACGAGGTAGAACAGTAAAAACTGAAAACTCTGTGTGTTGCTAGGAACTGCTTCGGGCACAAACTACGGCAACATCCAGCTTGAAATGAGCGAAAATATACGTCAAAAAAGAGGTACGTCGACGCTGCTTGACAAACTACCCGTTTGATTTGTGTAACCATATTCGTACTGGCATTGCATGGTTCATATGCATTCAGTTTATACAAACTTTTACTGATCATCCTACCCTGTCCAGGGGGACTGATATCACATGTGATCTGATGCCTATCTCAAGAAATCAATGGTGAGACACGGTGCCCCATTTGTCAAACAAATTGCAACGCCCTCAGCTGCCTCGGGTCATGAGTTAAACGTTGCCCAAGTTATGTCCCTTGGTCCATTCTATGTAAAACACAGTACTGTACACAATTGTAAGTTACTGGGGAGACACCGGGTCAGGGATCGTGGGTTTTATAAAGCAGTCCACGTCCACACTGATGTGGGGCTTCCCTCACACATTCAGCTGCTGTCCTCTTATTGAACTGAAATACCCTGGTCCATTGCTATCATCTTTCGCATCTCAACACCGTCTCAGAGGTGAGGTGAAAAGGGGTCTACCATCGCGTTTAAGATCATTGCAATTAAACGTGTGTTTGTGTGTGGCTGCTTGTACTTGTCAGGACTAATGCCGATTTATTAGTGCTAGCCAACTGAGATACTATGACGCAGGTAACGAGAATATCCCACTCAGACACAGTATACTGACGCCGAGCCAACCAGTCCTTGTTTTAGCCGTTTAATGCCGAGTGCCGGGCAGGGTAACAAAAAGTACCGTCGTTTAACGTCTTTTGGTATAACGCGGCCGGGTACTGGACCAATGACTTTCCGGAATCCAGGTGGACGCTCTACATCTGGACCGGGGAGGCTGTCCCGTGTCAGGGATCGTGGGTTTTACAAAGAAGTCCACCCTGATGTGGGTCTGTCCGCACACATTCAGCTGTTGCACCCTGATACAACTGAAATACCTTGATCGATTGTTCCATACTGACATACTCTATACCAATGACCGTTTGGATTAATTGCAGCAGGAGAAGAAACTGTTTGCTTGAAAGTATTTTCAATTCGTTACTACAGCGCACAGAATTGATTATATTGCATTGTCCTGTATCTCAGTCTTATAGCAACATTTCCCACACCTCTTCTGTTTTCTTGTGTTACGCACCAGGAAAGGAGAGGAAAGTGAGATCACCCAAAGGACAAGCGTACAATGATGGTAGGTGGCACACTCACACTAGTGGTTTGTATTTTAATAGCATCATAATGGAACACAATACAATATTTTAGTTTGTTATTTAATCCGCACTTTGCAGTTTGTACTTTAATAGCATCACAACTGCTAATAATACAATGTGTTCTTTTGTTGTTTAAGTCGCACATTGCAATATTCTAGCTCTATGACGGTGGCCAGTAAATACTCGTAATCGAGTCTGGACCAGAAAATTCACCATTTGATATTGTGAGCAACGCTCCACGCTGTCGGTGTACGATGACACTGTATCAACCAATCAAGTCACCCAGTCTGACCATCCCATCTATTTGGTACCCGTATGCTTTGTTTGGGAACCAGTTCTTACCATCAGTTATTATTCATATAATATGTATACATATATTCCATATTTACAGCAAGTGAATTAAGACAAATCCAGTCATTGTTCATCTTTAATTCCTGCTTCACACACACAACACAACTGGTTGACGGAATGCAAAGAACGTTATTGACAATACAGTTGAAGTCACTATTTCGTTGCTATAGAGGCATATTAAAGTGTGCCTAATGTAGCAATGGCTACATGTTTGTGTGTCAGAATGTTTGAAAAATTTCCCCTCAACAGGGAGAAAAATACAAATGAATTCTTACACAAGTGTAGTAACATCAGTATGAGGTGAGGTGAGGTGAGGTGAGGTGAGGTGAGGTGAGGTGAGGTGAGGTGAAATGGGGTTTAATGTCGCGTCCAAGATTATTGCACTTATATAGCGACGTGCATGTACGTGTGTGTGTCTGTGTGGCCTCTTGTACTAGTCCGGACTGATGATGATTTATAGTGCTAGCTCACTGAGATACCATGCCGCAGTTTAACATGGATACCCCACTCAGACACAGTATACTGACTCCAAGCCGACCAGTCCTTGTTTTAGCCCCTTAATGCCGAGCGTGAGACAGGGTAACAACAAGTACCATCTTGTAAAATCTTTTGGTATGACGCGGCCGGGGATCTACCACTAGACCACGGAGGCGGTCACATCAGTATGACCCACATGTTAATGACATAGTATCTTTGTATAATAATGTTTTTTGTTAAAAGAGTTGGGTCTTACGCCAGAAAACATTGCACCAATACAAGCGAACTCTTTAACCAGTCAGCTAACCCACCGTTCCTGTGGTATGCAACTATGATGATTGTCAACATCAAACATTATCATCATTGACTCACATGTTTTCTCCCTCACAGTGGGCCGTCGGGTAGCCTAGTGGTTAAAGCGTTCGCTCGTCACGCCGAAGACCCAGGTTCGGTTCCCGACATGGGTACAATGCGTGAAGCCCATTTCTGGTGTCCCCCGCCGTGATATTGCTGGTATATTGCTAAAAGCGGCGTAAAAACCAGACTCACTCACTCTCCCTCACAGAGCCAGTCTATCAAAACACCACCTCCAGGGACCAGTTGTCCGTGTAAATAGGGGTACTGATGTCATCACATCATCTGAACACCTATCTGTATCTGCGATTTGTTTATTTACGATACATTAATGTTAGTATACTTCCTTATTGTTAATGTTACCATAGTCAGATTTTGTTATTACACACGTATATATGTTTGTATATATAAGTATTGTATAACCCTATATGCCTACTCATTGTTTACCTGTTGATGGGGTAAGAAGTAGACCTGAAACGTTGTTACAATAATTAAAATAAGTTGTTATCCATAAAGAAGTGCCACGTATTCAGACAGACAGACAGTTTAGTCAGTATGCAAGGCCATATGGCCCATAGTACAGATCAGTTTTAACAGATATATAAAATTCAATGTGATCTTGAACATAGCATAATATATTCTAAATACATTTTTCAAATTTATTTTGAAAGATTTGATAACATCTTCATTTGTCGAATTCAACAAATTGATCATTAATTGATTGTCTTTGTGTGTAATATATAAATTAGATAGAAATATTAATCTCAACGTTTTATATTTTTCACATATAAAAAGAACATGAAACTCGTCTTCAATCTCCTGGTTGGTACAGTTAGAACATCTACATTTCACAAAATAACTATCCTTGGGTCTACGATGTTTATTGATAAGGAAGTTATGGAGAGATATTCTTAATTTACAAAGAGCTCTCAATAGAGTTTTATCTTTTAATATACTTAAATATTTTTATGGTTGTAATAATGATTTGATACAAGCATGATGCTTGAGAAAGTGTGAAGAGGAAACTTGTTGGTGCCAGTTTTGCTGAAATATATCTAACAATATTTGTTTAAATGCAAAAATAGTTTTTCATTACCAGTTTCTTGTGAGATCCATACAAAGGAAAACCCAGTATTATATAATATGCTCCTTACAGTAGACACCCAATTCGTTTTCCCTTCACCATCTAGCATTTTGTAACATTGAAATGGGTACCTGTGAGCTTCCATTTCTAATATTTATTATCCAGTATTTAACTACACGGAGCTGGCTATGTACCTATATACTACAGCGACCAGTTTCACCAATCACTGCCTTATTTGAAGCATATTTACCAATGTTTAAAAATTGCTTAAAATACAAAGTGTGACATTTCTCAATGGATTCAAAATCATTAATGCCCCGTATTTCCGAGCCGTAGAAGAAAATGGGTAGAATTTTACTATCAAATATTGAAATTTGCTGTTGAAAATAATTTATAAACAGGAAACATTGCCTCAGATGCTTAAAGCGCTAAGGTCTTACAAGCCTTAGGCCATTTTTTTCTTGAGAACATTAATAGTCCTAAATACTTATAATTGGTTCTATGTTTATCACTATATATCCAATTTTCATGCTTCGATACAATTCCACCATTTCTAAAAAGAATAACATTGGTTTTGTCAAGGTTTACTTCTGAACCCTTCTTATTACAAAAGGACTGCAATACAAAAAGCTGTTTCTGCAAGCCTACCACACAGTAGGACACCAGAGCAACATCATTCGCGAACAACAATAGCATAATATCACCTTGGGGACACAACTGTGAACAGAGAAGCGCAGCACCTTAGACGACTTGCCATTCAGTCCCTTTGAACGAGACCCGTGAAGATTCCGGGGTAGAATAGGTCTTCAGCAACCCATGCTTGCCGTAAAAGGTGACTATGCTTGTCGTAAAAGGCGACTAACAGGATCGGATGGTCAGGGTCGCTGACTTGGTTGATGCATGTCATCGATCCCAATTGCGTGGATCGATGCTGATGATGTCAATCATTGGATTGTCTGGTCCCGACTCGATTATTTACAGACCGCCGTCATAAAGCTTGAATATTGCCGCGTGCGGCGTTAAACAAACAAACAAACAAAACACAAGCCATGATATAAGTGAAGTACATACCCACTCTTCTGAAATAACACAATGTTCCAGATGGGAATCCTGCCCACGTCTATGGCAACACTGGATTTGAAGATGAAGAAAACATACGTAAAGAAAAAGGTACTTTGTCACCGGTTTAAAGCATAAGGAATCAGATAATGAAAGTTAAGCCTGACCCTCGTTCATCAGGCTTTCAGATTCATAAACACTAGCTCATGATATAATCAGGATCGTACAACGAACTATTTTAGCAGAGATTTCTTATGAATATGGAAAGGATTTGTCGCTTGTATTCATAAGTAATCCATATGAAATTTCACAAGTATTTGTTTTTGTGTGTACATCCCTTCCTCCACAGGACCGTGCTAATGAAATACACAAGGTAGATAACAGGCTGATGAAATAACCAGCTTAAATTAGTATTCGAAATACTAAGGAGTTATAAAGGACATGTGTATCGATTAATCCGTAGTTCGAGACAAGCAGAGTGCCTGTTTAAGACCCTAGTGACGATAAGGATTAATATTCTGCCAGTACCTTAAAGTAGCTAGTGTTGACGAGGTAGAACAGTATAAACTGAAAACTCTGTGTGTTGCTAGGAACTGCTTCGGGCACAAACTACGGCAACATCCAGCTTGAAATGAGCGAAAATATACGTCAAAAAAGAGGTACGTCGACGCTGCTTGACAAACTACCCGTTTGATTTGTGCAACCATATTCGGACTGGCCTTGCATGGTACATATGCATTCAGTTTATACATACTTTTACTGATCATCCTACTCTGTCCAGGCGGACTGATATCACATTGTAACTGATCATGTGATCTGATGCCTATCTCAAGGAATCAATGATGAGACACGGTGCCCGATTTGTCAAACAAATTGCAACGCCCTCAGCTGCCTCGGGTCGTGAGTTAAACTTTGCCCAAGTTATGTCCCTTGGTCCATTCTATGTAAAACACAGTACTGCACACCATTGTAAGTTACTGGGCAGACAGAGTCCTCGGCCCGTCGATTCGAGTTCCTCATATGCCCCAGTTATCATCCTTGGCATCTCAACACCGGGTCAGGGATCGTGGGTTTTATAAAACAGTCCACGTCCACACTGATGTGGGGCTTCCCTCACACATTCAGCTGTTTCACCCTGAGTGAACCGAAATACCCTGATCCATTGCTATCATCTTTGGCATCTCAACACCGTGTCAGAGGTGAGGTGAAAAGGGGTCTACCATCGCGTTTAAGATCATTGCAATTAAACGTGTGTTTGTGTGTGGCTGCTTGTACTTGTCAGGACTAATGCCGATTTAATAGTGCTAGCCAACTGAGATACTATGACGCAGGTTACGAGAATATCCCACTCAGACACAGTATACTGACGCCGAGCCAACCAGTCCTTGTTTTAGCCGTTTAATGCCGAGTGCCGGGCAGGGTGACAAAAAGTACCGTCGTTTAACGTCTTTTGGTATAACGCGGCCGGGTACTGGACCAATGACTTTCCGGAATCCAGGTGGACGCTCTGCATCTGGACCGGGGAGGCTGTCCCGTGACAGGGATCGTGGGTTTTACAAAGAAGTCCACCCTGATGTGGGTCTGTCCGCACACATTCAGCTGTTGCACCCTGATACAACTGAAATACCTTGATCGATTGTTCCATACTGACATACTCTATACCAATGACCGTTTGGATTAATTGCAGCAGGAGAAGAAACTGTTTGTTTGAAAGTATTTTCAATTCGTTACTACAGCGCACATAATTGATTTTATTGCATTGTCCTGTATCTCAGTATTATAGCAGCATTTCCTACACCTCTTCTGTTTTCTTGTGTTACGCACCAGGAAAGGAGAGGAAAGTGAGATCACCCAAAGGACAAGCGTACAATGATGGTAGGTGGCAAACTTACACTTGCGGTTTGTATTTTAATAGCATCGTATTGGAAAACAATACAATATTTTAGTTTGTTATTTAAACCACACATTGCAATATTCTAGCTATATGACGGCGGCCAGGAAATAATCGAGTCTGGACCAGAACATTCAGCATTTGATATTGTGAGCAACGCTCCACGCTGTCGGTGTAAGATGACACCGTTTCAACCAATCAAGTCACCCAGTCTGACCATCCCATCTATTTGGGACCCGTATGCTTTGTTGGGAACCAGTTCTTACCATCAGTTATTATTCATATAATATGTATACATATATTCCATATTTACAGCAAGCGAATTAAGACAAATCCAGTCATTGCTCATCTTTAATTCTTGCTTCACACACACACAACAAAATTGGGTGACGGAATACAAAGAACGTTATTGACAATACAGTTGAAGAGGCATATAAAAGTGTGCATAATGTAGCAATGGCTACATTCTTGTGTGTCAGAATGTTTGAAAAATTTCCCCTCAACAGGGAGAAAAATACAAATGAATTCTTATGCAAGTGTAGTAACATCAGTATGAAGTGAGGTGAGGTGTGGTGAGGTGAAATGGGGTTGAATGTCGCGTCCAAGATTATTGAACTTATATAGTGACGTGCATGTACGTGTGTGTGTTTGTGTGGCTGCTTGTACTAGTCCGGACTAATGCCGATTTATAGTGCTAGCTCACTGAGATATCATGCCGCAGTTTAACATGAATACCCCACTCAGACACAGTATACTGACTCCGAGCCGACCAGTCCTTGTTTTAGTCCCTTAATGCCGAGCGCCAGACAGGGTAACAACAAGTACAATCTTTTAACGTCTTTTTGTATGACGCGGTCGGGGATCGAACCCCGGACCTTCCGCTCTCCGGGCGGACACTCTACCACAAGAAGATGGAGGCGGTCTGAGAAAAATACAAATGAATCCTTACACAAGTGTAGTAACATCAGTATGACCCACATTAATGACATATAAGTGTTTTATGTTAATAGAGTTGGGTTATATGCCAGCAACATTGCCCTAATACAACCCACATGTTTATGATCTCATGTATATTAGTGTTTAGTGAGTGAGCTGGGTTTTAGGTCATTTCTTGTTATATTGCACTAATACTGTCGGCATGACGAAGGAACTCTTTAACCAGTAGGCTAACTCACCGTTCCTGTGGTATGCAACTATGATGATGGAAACATTGTCAACATCAAACATTATCATCATTGACTCACATCTTTTCTCCCTCACAGAGCCCATCTATCAAAACACCACCTTCACGAACCAGTCGTCCATATGAATATGGGTACTGATGTCATCACGTCACCTGAACACCTATCTGTATCTGCGATTAGTTTATTTACGATGCATTAATGCTACTATAGTTCCTTATTGTTAATGTTACCATGATCAGATTTTGTTATTAAACACGTATATATGTATGTAATTATTGTATAACTCTATATGCCTACTCATTGTTTACCTGTTGATGGGGCAAGAAGTAGACCTGAAACGTCGTTACAATAATTAAAATAAGTTGTTATCCATAAAGAAGTGCCACGTATTCAGACAGACAGACAGTTTAGTCAGTATGCAAGGCCATATGGCCCATAGTACAGTTCAGTTTTAACAGATATATAAAATTCAACGTGATCTTGAACATAGCATAATATATTCTAAATACATTTTTCAAATATATTTTGAAAGATTTGATAACATCTTCATTTGTCGAATTCAACAAATTGATCATTAATTGATTGTCTTTGTGTGATATATATAAATTAGATAAAAATATTAATCTCAACGTTTTCAATTTTTCACATATAAAAAGAACATGAAACTCGTCTTCAATCTCCTGGTTGGTACAGTTAGAACATCTTCAATTTACAAAATCACTATCCTTGGGTCTACGATGTTTATTGACAAGGAAGTTATGGAGAGATATTCTTAATTTACAAAGAGCTCTCAATAGAGTTTTATCTTATAATATACTTAAATATTTTTCTGGTTGTAATAATGATTTGATACAAGCATGATGCTTGAGAAAGTGTGAAGAGGAAACTTGTTGGTGCCAGTTTTGCTGAAATATATCTAACAATATTTGTTTAAATGTAAAAATAGTTTTTCATTACGAGTGTCTTGTGAGATCCATACAAAGGAAAACCCAGTATTAAATAATATGCTCCTTACACCAGACACCAATTCGTTTTCCCTTCACCATCTTGCTTTAGCGTTTTGTAACATTGAAATGGGTACCTGTCAGCTTCCATTTCTAATATCTATTATCCAGTATTTAACAACACGCAGCTGGCTATGAACATATATACTACAGCGGCCATTTTCACCAAGCACTGCCTTATTTGAAGCATATTTACCAATGCATAAAAATTGCTTAAAATACAAAGTGTGACATTTCTCAATGGATTCAAATATATTTAATGCCCCATATTTCCTAGCCGTAGAACAAAATGGGTATAATTTTACCATCAAATATTGAATTTGCTGTTGAAAATGAGATATATTTGTTTTCCTTCAATAATTTATAAACAGGAAACATTGCCTCAGATGCCTGAAGCGCTAAGGTCTTACAAGCCTTAGACCAATTGATTCTTGGGGACAGTAATAGTCCTAAATACTTATGATAACTTCCAATGTTTTAAATGTTTATCACCATATATCCAATTTTCCTGCTTCGATACAATTCCTCCATTTCTAAAAACAATAACATTGGTTTTCACAAGGTTTACTTCTAAACCCCACTTAATACCAAAGGACTGCAATACATTAAGCTGTTTCTGCAAGCAACATACTAGGGCACCAGAGCAACATCATCCGTGAAAAGCAATAGCATAATATCTATGTTGTCTTATGTCACAAACACACCAGGATGACATTCTTTGTAAATTTCAGAAACAAGTTTGTTTATAAAAACTGACGAATAAGACTAGGCTTAAGATGCAACCTTGACGAACACCACTGGAGGTAGTAAAACAAGGAGTTATACCCGAGTCAGTTCTAATACATGCTTTGACTGAGAAATACATATTCTTAAGAACTATTAACATTTGACCACGACATCCTTTAGTGATCAATAGGTACAGCAGTTTTTGTTCTATCAACGTAATCAAAAGCTTTGCGGAAATCAACAAAGGCGCAATAAAACGACCTCTAGGTTTACATAAATATTTGGAGCAAAGTAACTGAAGAACAAAGATATTGTCATCTTCAGAATACGCAGAGCGAAACCCTGCTTGAGCTTGAGATATCATTTACTTCAAGCCAAATTCTAAGTCGTTATTCAACAATAAATACAGAAAGTTTTCCCATGACATTCAAAACAGATATACCTCTGTAATTGTTTGGTTGACTGACATTTCCTGATTTGAATAAAGACATTATCATTCCAATATTCTACGCATTGGAGAAAATACCTGTATCAAGGATTTTATTGAATAAAAGCAACAAAAATGGTATGAGAAAATCTCCTGTTATTTTGTACAATTCTGATGGAATTCCATCGACGCCTGACGCTTTACTATTTTTAAGACTTTTCAATGCTTCCCTCACTTCTTGTTCTGTGATCTCGCCAGATAACAACACTTCAGTACATTCATCACACATTAAAAAATCAGATATTTTCCGAAACGTTTTACAATCTCAATGATGCGCTGCTTACTTAATTTCTTCATTCGATATTATTATATCACTCACTGTCAAACCAGACTGGCTGAGATACACCACATTTACTGGACCAAGAACAAACAGTGCCTGTACTTGTAGCACAACATATCACAATGTCAGTGAGCTTAGTAACTGCTGCGTTAGGGTTGTCCTTCAAAATGACTGCACACTCATTAAAACTTTCTCCACTTAACGTATTACAGAGATGGAGGTGGTAGGAAACAACTTGCTCAGGAGGAAGTCTATATTTTGGTTCAGGGGTTAATGAGGCAGATGAAGTGTTGACAATATTATTTTGTTGAAAAGAACAAGGAGTAAGATCTTTGAAGCATGCGGAGAGACAATAGGCAAGTGATCTGAGTCGTTTCGTTCAACCACCGACATATATGTAATGGATTCAAATAAACTCGATGAAACAATACAATAATCTACAGTACTACTTCCTGTGTGAGAAATGAAAGTAAGATTACCTGGACTATCTGAGTTTGTCCTACCATTAACGATGTGAACCCCAAGTTACTTACACAATTCAAGTAAGGCTCTACCATAGTTATTTGTATGAAAATCACTGACACATCGTTGTTGACAAAATTCATCTGAAGTGTATTCTTATCAATAGGTAGATAATCTATCTCATCATCTATCAAATAATCTAATCCCTGACCAGTCCTTGCATTAAAATCTACACATAGGATGAATTTACACTAGTCACCATAATCATGGATAACATGTATTAACTGGCGTTCTAACTTGTCTACACCACTGTCCTCCTCATTAGCATATACGGGGCGGTCGGGTAGCCTAGTGGTTAAAGTGTTCGCTCGTCACGCCAAAGACCCGGATTCGATTCCCGACATGGGTACATTTCTGGTGTCCCCCGCCGTGATATTGCTGGAATATTGCTAAAAGCGGCGTAAAGCCATACTAACTCACTCACTCATTAGCATATACCGGAGAGCCGTCAGGGTGGATGTAAACAAACACCAGGAATGTTAGGAAGGGAGATAATTCACCCTTCATTCTGAAAACCAGAGCGTCGTCCCAAAGGGAGTAAACTCGTTTAAAATATTATGACAAATGATTTTTAATACAAACGGAAATGCAACCTGAGAACCGACCACGGTTAACAGATAGCTTAGCCTTACAGTCGAACATGTTGTAATTACTGAAATTGTTGTTTAACATAGATATAGCATCATCAGTCATAGTTTCCAAGAGACAAATTATATCAAAATGAAATGTAATCAGAACATTCAGCTTTTGATCTCAAGCCGTGAATATTCCAAATACAGATTCCAGTTGTGATGTCCACATCATCGGCTTGACCATTCCTGGCTGAAACACTGGGTTCAGGTTGATACTCTGCGTTCTGAGACATGGCAGAACTGTCAAGTACTCTATCTATTGCTACTGCAACTATCACACTATCATTAACAGTACCTGTTGTATCGATAACATTTGTAGTAATGTCTGTACACTTGTCTGAAGTACCAACACAACTGTGACCTATGAATGTAAAGCAAGCATTTTTTCTTATCATGGTGCTGTTTACCAGTGGTACTCTGATTATTACTGTAGCCATGGCCATACCCCTCGTCCCCCTCAGTCTGGGTATAACCACTCCCTGCTGAAGCTGTGCCTGCGATAGGCTGACTGCGTGATACCCAGTGACGTCTTTGTCCACCTTTACATACACCCTCCTGTTCCTCATCCAACACAAACACAGATCCCTCGATCACCAGCTTATCATAACTCAGATAGGCAGTTTTACCATCGTCTCTGGCCGGCTTCATAAAGGGAAACAATTTCGATTACACATTTCGAACTCTCTGCGTAAAATCATCAGCTACTCTAAAGTCATTATTCAGTTTTAACTCTTCCCTTGCAAAAAGAATATATATAAAAAAGAAAATCTCAGTATTATGGGCCTGTTGGTTGACTTTGAGTGTAATCTGTGGGCTCTTTCGATGTTGATAGAATCTGCAGAGTCAAGATGGAGTGTTTTGGCCATACAATCTCTAACTGCCTTCTCACTCTCTACCCAAGTCTCACCTCTCTTGTCGGGTTTGCCGTGAAAAATCAAATTATTTAGACGTGAATGGGCCTCTATATTATCTGTCTTGGTCTTCAAATCAAACACTTTCTTCTTGAGAAAGTTATTTTCTTTTTCCAAATGGCTTAACCTTTCATCATAGACCTGTATGAAACCGTCTGTTTTCTGATTGAGCTGAGCAATTTGTGATTGTATTGTTGTCAGTGTAATAGCGAGATCATTGAGGGTAATGGATGGACTGTCAGAATTAGATGGGGTAATTACTTGACCAGACACGTTGCGAGGTATTAGTCTCGCCTGTACACCTTCAGGTTGATGTTTCGGGGAGCCGGGGTTCGACTCGACATCTCCGGCGACAAGTAAAACGGTAATAGACAGAAGCAACAGTCTAGGTCCCAGCCGGGTGCCCCCTGGTAGCTTTATACAGGGGTATCTAGCGCCGACTCGTTGACCACGTGGACAAAAACGTCTTATTCTGACAAGTCCACATACTGATATCTATCCCCATACCTGCTATTTGTTATCACCATATAAACTGAGGGCCATAAGAAACGTTACCAACATTAAATGATTTGCCACTTTGAAACAAAGATGCCAACCTGTTCAAAAACAGTAAAAAACACATCTCACGAATACAGCCTTCATGTTCTCTGTCGATCTTTGCACGTGCTTTGCGGATTTTGGGAGATATTGGTGTTTTTCAGCAATTTTTAAAAACATTCTTTCCCAAATTATCGTGCAAGTTCCGGGTATAAATTACGCACGGATCTGTTTCCTATCATTGGTTGCGATGATTAACACCAACGAACATGCCAAGACTGACTGCTGTCCAGAGGGAGAGAGCCATAGGTATGCTGCAGATGGGAGCGACACAGAGAGCGGTTGCCATTAACATGAAATGCTCCAAGATGACCATTACCAGACTGGTCGCACGTCTCCGACAGACTGGCAGAACCGCAGACAGACCACGGAGTGGCAGACCAAAGGTCACGACCCCGCAGTATGACCGTTATTTACGGGTACTTCATCTGAGGATTAGATTTCTTACTGTGACGTCATCAGCTGCCAACAGCTTAGGACATCCGGTCAGCAGACAAACAGTGACCAGACGACTACGACATTATAGGGTCCGGGCCACCGTCGACGTGCCAGATTGACGTGGTGCAGGCAAACTCAGCGATGGCAACAAAGGGAATGGCGGCGAGTGCTGTTCAATGACTCCAACTTTTCAAACCTGATGGGCGGACGCGAGTTTATCGACGACGTGGTGAACGTACGGCTCCTTGTTGTGTCCAGGAGGTGGAACCTTACGGGGGCGGAAGTGTGATGGTCTGGGGCGGCATTTGCGGGGACGAGAAGACGGAACTTGTCATCATCGAAGGCAATCTGACAGCACAACGCTACATTGACAATATCTTACGGCCAGTGGTTCTTCCTTTCGTCCAGCGTCAACAACGGACGGTGTTCCAACACGATAACGCCACACCCCATAAAACCCGTATTTCTAGAGACTTCCTCAACGCCAACAACGTGACTGTCCTGCCGTGGCCAGCTCGATCACGATATCTGTCACCCATAAAACATCTCTGGGACCAGCTGGGGCGTCGTCTTCGGAAACGTCAACATCCTCCCTTCACGAGACAAGTGTTGCTCGTTGCCCTCCGTGAGGAATGGAATCGGATACCTGCAGTCGATGTGAGGACGCTTGTCTACTCAGTTCGACGCCGCATTCGAAGAAGCATTGCCGCTCATGGAGGTCATATCCCGTATTGAACGTCCTGGGCCGTCGTCAGCTTAAAGTTGTTACCATTGTTGTTGATCGAATACTAGACGAATGACCACTTGTCAAGAAATGTCCCTGTTGGAGGTCAAGGACTTTTACTTTTACTGAATGATGAATTTCTACAATACAATTGTTATTGCTGCTTCAAATTGTGTTGGTCATATTTTATCCTAGAAATATCGTTGGTAAGGTTTCTTTTGGCCGTCAGTTTATTTAGACAGCATGTGCACCTCCGTTTGTTTGGAAAACATTAGTCACGTATTCATGGTTTTCCAACTTCTAAATATCTATCAATGACTTCAGTACATAGCAATTTTTATTAACGTCTTGTAAAGTCATGTTCTACCACAGTTCTCCATAGCATACGATGTAATGAAGTCAATTACTAAGTTATCATTACATATCGCTTTCATCCAGAACTGGGAAAACTGTTATGCTTTTTTATATGATTCTTACGTGTCGATTCCCAAATTGAAACAATATGTTAATCCAGAAATCTGCACGTAAAAGGACTTAGTTTGAAATCAACAATCAACCAACAAGTGGTATGTATAAATCAACAAATGTATTACAAAGTTCACTCAGTTTACAAATCAATACAAATTACTGCACAGTAATTGCATTGGCGGTAAACAATATAGTGGTAGTACAATATTCAATAAATAATATGTGTGTGCCAGTATCAAATACAAAAATACAGTGGTGATAGCAAAAGTCAGTGACAATAATACATATTCACCCAGCGACGACAGTGGTGTGAAAGGTAGTTCCAAAGCGATGAAATGTGTGCGAGATGCGCAAACACGCTTTTGTCCTCTTATATACAGCCTACCCAGCGACTGTGGAGTACTTTCCGTATGGCTATGGAAGTTGTTTTCAATTTTTTGCTGAATACATCACATGAAGATTCCATGTCAGAATTGGTCTTCAGCAACCATTGTACGAGGTGACCAACAGGATCGGATGGTCTAACTTGCTGACTTGATTGATGCATGTCATCTTATCACAGTTGCATAGATCAATGCTAATAGTGTCAATCACGAGACTCTGGCCGAGACTCGATTATTTCAAAATTGCCATCATATAGCTGGAATATTACTGAGTGTGTCATTAATGTCCAACAACCAACCAACAAACAAGGAAGTCCAAACAAATCATAATGTGAGTAATGGGAGCGGGTGACCAGACATGTTGACTTGGTTCATGCATGTCATCGTATCCCAGTTGTGTGCTCATGATATCATATCAATGCTCATGATATCAATGACTGGAATGTCTGGTCCAGATTCACTTATTTACAGACCGCTGTCCCATAGCTGGAATATTTGCTGAGTGCAGCATCAAAAAACAAACAAGAACAAGAAGACAATAGTCCACCAGCATGTGCTTATTGGGTCTATATACTGCAATTTTCCTTCTGTTTATTACTTCACAGTGCGTCAGATTAATGTGAAAGGAAATCCCAAAGTGATGAAGGTCGTAGATGATTATCAGTTTGGTTAAACCCAGCATTGAAATTAAAGTGTACACATTTAGTTGGTATTGTTGTTATAATTTATCCCAATAGCAACTTCTCTATTGTTGCTGATGTTGTCATCAATAAAAATTCATGTTCTTAGTTTTCTATCAACTTGTAAATGCCAGCCCATGCTTGCCGTAAAGGGCGACTATGCTTGTCATAAGAGGCGACTAACAGGATCGGGTGGTCAAACTTGCTGACTTGGTTCATGCATGTCATCGTATCCAATTTGCGTGGATCGATGCTCATGAGGTCAATCACTGGACTGTCTGGTATTATATCTACCACAGGATGGCAGTTATGGTTGTGCTGTGCTGTGCTGTGCTGTGCTGTGCTGTGCTGTGCTGTGCAGTGCAGTGCTGTGCTCCATAACTGAATGGATTTGTGCTCATACTATCCACAAGTGGTATCCCGTGACTTGCTTGCTTGCTGCTTGCTTGCTTGCTCGGGGCTGGGCTGGGCTGAGCGGAAAAATGTCAAATTCACTCTCAAGTCTTTATGCAAGAAAATACATAAGGATGTAGGGGTATAAAGTAAGAAACAACTTTGTAAAAATAATGTCTTGTGTTTTGAATAAAACAACTAACTAACAAACTTTAACCTTCAGGTTTAATCACAGCTGTAGAAGCGCTTCGTTCAGTTTCAGAATTGTTTGATACGTTCATAAAATCCCCAAGGCTACGCGAGCAGAGGCGCAACGTTATCAGCCGGGCGAACCTTAACGCAAATACGACATTAAACGCATGTACGGAATCGGACCTTTACCTGATCACATGGCCAACCAACAGATACTAAATTTAAAACTGACGCTTCTAACGATGTTTTCGTAATGTCTTTGGAGGTTCGCCGAATATATCCAGAACTTGATCCCCGATGTTCTGTGAAATCACAGAATCTTCGACTGAATACTTATCCATTTTTAATGCAAAAATATTGAAATGAACAAATCGACCATTTGGGTCAAGTTAGTGCACTAGTTGTGAGGATATCGAGGCCAAGCCATTCATTGTGCGATGCATATATATTTCGGAATTCCCTGAAGGAATCCCTAACCAGAATATAGGAAAGGTCACATTGTGTTGAACGGGGAGCTAATGTTGGTGCATTAGTTTTTTTGGCGTTATGTTAGTTTTGTTTTTGAGTCTTTTAAGTTTTGTTTTTACGAAAAAATACAACTTTTTGGATAACAACTTGTGGTTTGTTGTTGTATTTAGCGATGTTTCGATATAGAGTCCACACTCTTGTTAAGCTGAATGACTGTGAAAGAATGAACATCGACACAGAAGTTTTTATCCACTAAAGTTGAATGTTTTCTGTTTTACTGACCAACTTTTAGAACGCCAACACTCTCTTTTTTATACATTTAGTTTCGTTTTTGATTTTGGTTGTTGATTGGTAACAGCTTGCATGAATAACTAATAAATACGCCCGTAAATGTCTGCTTTGAAGCTATCCTTGACACCAAATTGAAATTAGTTTGAACATACGTGTTTGTCTACTTGGCTCTTTGAGTGCATTGCCCTTGGCGCCCCTGCTTGGGTTGTCACAGGGAAGTACTGGCATTGCAGTTACAGCTTAAAGGCTTCGAGTCGCTTTTCATCATTAAACGAAATAACAGGATCCAGACAGTTTCATTTCAGAAATTAACATGTAAGACTAGCAATTATGAATTTAAAACTTAAATAGTGCGCTGACAAATGGTAGAATATATATAAATATAATATACAATATTCGAGAAATATTGTTCATAATCAACGAATCGCTTTGCTTTTTTAGTTTTCGATTCTATCGATCGTATATGTCTTTGTGCTTTAGCCTTCTTTTGCGTATTTACAAAACTTGAAGTATTATGTAGTGTGTGGTATTGGCCCAGGAAGTACTTCCGCTACGTTGCCAACTAATCAGTCTGCGCTCAGACACCCATCACCTTGCACCACCCAAGCCGGCCAGAGACGATGGTAAAACTGCCTATCTGAGTTATGATAAGCTGGTGAGTGAGGGATCTGTGTTGGATGAACAGGAGGGTGGCTGTAAAGTTGGCAGACAGCCTATCGTAGAAACAGCTTCAGCAGGAAGTGGTTATACCCAGGCTGAGAGAGACTAGGGGTGCGGCCATGGCTACAGTCATAATCAGAGTACCACTGGTAAACATCACCATGATAATAAAAATGTTTGCATTACATCTTTAGGGCACAGTTGTGTTGGTTCTTCAGACAAGTGTACAGACATTACCACAAATGTTATCGATACAACATGTACTGTTAATAATGTGATAGTTGCAGTAGCAACAGATAGAGTACTTGACAGTACTGCTAAGTCCCAGAACGCAGAGTATCAATCTGAACCCAGTGTTTCAGCCAGGAATGGTCAAGCCGATGATGTGGACATCACAACTCGAACCTGTACTTGGAATATTCACGGCTTGAGATCAAAAGCTGAATGTTCTGATTACATTTCATTTTGTAAAACGTTTGATATAACTTGTCTCTTGGAAACTATGACTGATGATGCTATATCTATGTTAAACAACAATTTCAGTAATTACAACATGTTCGACTGTAAGGCTTAGCGGGGGCGGTCGGGTAGCCTAGTGGTTAAAGCGATCGCTCGTCACGCCGAAGACCCGGGTTCGATTCCCGACATGGGTACAATGTGTGAAGCCCATTTCTGGTGTCCCCCGCCGTGATATTGCTGGAATATTGCAAAAAACGGCGTAAAACAATACTCAGTCAGTCAGTCAGTAAGGCTAAGCGATCTGTTAACCGTAGTCGGTTCTCAGGTGGCATTTCCGTTTGTATTAAAAATCCTTTGTCACAATATTTTGAACGAGTTTACTCCCTTTGGGACGACGCTGTGGTTTTCAGAATAAAGGATGAATTATCTCCCTTCCTTACATTCCCGGTGTTCGTTTACATCCACCCAGACGGCTCTCCGGTATATGCTAATGAGTGAGTGAGTGAGTATGGCTTTACGCCGCTTTTAGCAATATTCCAGCAATATCACGGCGGGGGACACCAGAAATGTACCCATGTCGGGAATCGAACCCGGGTCTTTGGCGTGACGAGCGAACACTTTAACCACTAGGCTACCCGACCGCCCCGTATATGCTAATGAGGAGGACAGTGGTGTAGACAAGTTAGAACCCAATGTTAATATATGTTATCCTTGATTATGGTGACTTGTGTAATTTCATCCTATGTGTAGATTTTAATGCAAGGACTGGTCAGGAATTAGATTATTTGATAGATGATGAGATAGATTATCTATCTATTGATAAGAATACACTTCAGATGAATTTTGTCAACAACGATGTGTCAGTGATTTTCATATGAATAACTATGGTAAAGCCGTACTTGAATTGTGTAAGTAACTTGGGGTTCTCATCGTTAATGGTAGGACAAACTCAGATAGTCCAGGTAGTCTTACTTTCATTTCTCACACAGGAAGTAGTACTGTAGATTATTATATTGTTTCATCGAGTTTATTTGAATTTATTACATATATATCAGTGACAGTGGTTGAACGAAACGACTCAGATCACTTGCCTATTGTCTGTCCACATGCTTTAAAGATCTTACTCCTTGTTCTTTTCAACAAAATAATATTGTCAACCCTTCATCTGCCTCATTGAGCCCTGAACCAAAATATAGACTTCCTCCTGAGCAAGTTGTTTGCTACCACCTCCATCACGGTAATACGTTAAGTGGAGAAATGTTTAATGAGTGTGCAGTTATTTTGAAGGACAACCCTAACGCAGCAGTTACTAAGCTCACTGACATTGTGATATGTTGTGCTACAAGTACTGGCACTGTTTGTTCTTGGTCCAGTAAATGTCGTGTATCTCAGCCAGCCTAGTTTGACAGCGACAATATGAAATCTAAAAAGTATTTATGTCTCAACAACTTCAGAAATCATAAGTGTGATTTGAACCTGCACAGATATATAAGTGCAAAATCAGAATTTAAAAAGATTTGTGACGTTTGTATGACATAAAATTGAATGAAGAAATTAAGTTAACAGCGCATCATGGAGATTGTAAAACGTTTTGGAAAATACTTAAGAAGTCGTTACGTTAAAAACAGACAGTTCTATGACTCCTAATGTATGGCTTTCCTATTTTCAGAATTTATTAAATCCGATGTGCATGACGGCCAAACCAGAATTTGATCTATCAATATCTGATTTGTTTATGTGTGATGAATGTACTGATCTTCCATTCACGGAACAATTGTTATCTGGCGAGATCACAGAACAAGAAGTGAGGGAAGCATAGTAAAGCATCAGGCGTCGATGGAATTCCATCAGAATTGTACAAAATAAAAGGAGATTTTCTCATACCATATTTGTTGCTTTTATTCAATAAAATCCTTGATACAGGTATTTTCTCCGATGCGTGGAATATTGGAATGATAATGTCTTTATACAAATCAGGAAATGTCAGTCAACCAAACAATTACAGAGGTATATCTGTTTTGAATGTCATGGGAAAACTATTTGCATTTATTGTTGAATAACTACTTAGAATTTGGCTTGACGTAAATGATATCTCAAGCTCAAGCAGCGTTTCACTCTGAGTATTCTGAAGATGACAATATCTTTGTCACTTTGCTCCAAATATTTATGTAAACCTAGAGGTCGTTTTTATTGTGCCTTTGTTGATTTCCGCAAAGCTTTTGATTACGTTGATAGAAAAAAACTGCTGTACCTATTGATGTCGAGGTAAACTGTCATTAGTTTTTAAAAATATGTATATCTCAGTCAAAGCATGTATTATAACTGACTCGGATATAACTCCTTGTTTTACTACCAGTAGTGTTCCTCAAGGTTGCATCTTAAGCCCAGTCTTATTCATCTTTTTTATAACCAAACTTGTTTCTGAAATGTACAAAGAATGTCATCCTGGTGTGTTTGTGACACAAAACATTATAGATATTATGCTATTGCTTTTCACGGATGATGTTGCTCTGGTGCCCTAGTATGTTGCTTGCAGAAACAGCTTAATGTATTGCAGTCCTTTGGTATTAAGTGGGGTTTAGAAGTAAACCTTGTGAAAACCAATGTTATTGTTTTTGATGGAGGAATTGTATCGAAGCAGGAAAATTGGATATATGGTGAAAAACATTAAAAAATTGGACTTTATTATAAGTATTTAGGACTATTACCGTCCTCAAGAATACATTGGTCTAAGGCTTGTAAGACCTTAGCGCTTCAGGCATCTGAGGCAATGTTTCCTGTTTATAAATTATTGAAGGAAAACAAATATATCTCATTTTCAACAGCAAATTCAATATTTGATGGTAAAATTCTACCCATTTTGTTCTACGGATCGGAAATATGGAGCATTAAATATATTTGAATCCATTGAGAAATGTCACACTTTGTATTTTGAGCAATTTTTATGCATTGGTAAATATGCTTCAAATAAGATAGTGCTTGGTGAAACTGGTCGCTGCGTGTTGTTAATGCTGGATAATAGATATTAAAAATGGAAGCTGACAGGTACCCATTTTAATGTTACAAAACGCTAAAGCAAGATGGTGAAGGGAAAACGAATTGGTGTCTGGTGTAAGGAGCATATTATTTAACACTGGATTTTCCTTTGAATGGATCTCACAAGACACTCGTAATGAAAAACTATTTTCAAACAAAGATTTATAGATATATTTCCGCAAAACTGGCACCAACAGGTTTCCTCTTCACACTTTCTCAAGCATCATGCTTGTATCAAATCATTGTTACAACCAGAAAAATATTTAAGTATATTAAAAGATAAAACATTATTGAGAGCTCTTTGTAAATTAAGAATATCTCTCCATAACTTCCTTGTCAATAAACATCGTAGACCCAATGAGAGTGATTTTGTAAATTGAAGATGTTCTAACTGTACGAACCAGGAGATTGAAGACGAGTTTCATGTTCTTTTTATATGTGAAAAATTGAAAATGTTGAGATTAATATTTCTATCTTATTTAGATATAACACACAAAGACAATCAATTAATGATCAGTTCGTTGAATTCACGAATGAAGATGTTATCAAATCTTTCGGAATATATTTGAAACATGTATTTAGAATATATCATGCTATGTTCAAGATCATGTTGATTTTTATGCATATGTTAAAACTGAACTGTACTATTGACCATATGGCCTTGCATACTGACTAAACTGTCTGCATGTCTGTCTGAATACGTGGCACTTCTTTATGGATAACAACTTATTTTAATCTTTTTAACGACGTTTCAGGGCTACTTCTTACCCCATCAACAGGTAAACAATGAGTAGGCATATAGAGTTATACAATAATTATATATACATACACATATACGTGTGTAATAACAAAATCTGACCATGGTAACATTAACAATAAGGAACTATAGTAGCATAAATGCATCGTAAATAAACTAATCGTAGATACAGATAGGTGTTCAGGTGACGTGATGACATCAGTACCCATATTCACATGGACGACTGTTCCCTGGAGGTGGTGTTTTGATAGACGGGCTCTGTGAGGGAGAAAAGATGTCAGTCAATGATAATAATGTTTGATGTTGACAATGTTTCCATCATCATAGTTGCATACCACAGGAACGGTGGGTTAGCTGACTGGTTAAATTGTCTGCTTGTATTGGTGCAATGTTTGCTGGCGTAAAACCCAACTCTACTACCAAAAAACACTATTATACAAAGATAGTACATGTATGTCATTAATATGTGGGTCATTCTGATGTTACTACACTTGTGTAAGAAATCATTTGTATTTTTCTCAGACCGCCTCCGTGGTCTTGTGGTAGAGCGTCCGCCCGGAGAGCGGAAGGTCCGGGATTCGATCCCCGGCCGCGTCATACAAAAAGACGTTAAAAGATTGTACTCGTTGTAACCCTGTCTGACGCTCGGCATTAAGGGGCTTAAACAAGGACTGGTCGCCTCGGAGTCAGTATACCGTGTCTGAGTGGGGTATTCATGTTAAACTGCGACATGGTATCTCAGTGAGCTAGCACTATAAATCGTCATCAGTCCGGACTAGTACAAGCAGCCAAACACACACACATACACGTGCATGCACGTCGCTATATAAGTGCAATATTCTTAGACGCGACGTTAAACCCCATTTCACCTCACCTCACCTTGTATTTTTCTTCCTCTTCAGAGGAAATTTTTCAAACATTCTGACACACAAAAATTTAGCCATTGCTACATTAGGCACACTTTATTATGCCTCTATAGCAACGAAATAGTGACTTCAACTGTATTGTCAATAACGTTCTTTGCATTCCGTCACCCAATTTTGTTGTGTGTGTAAAGCAAGCATTACACATGAGCAATGACTGGATTTGTCTTAATTCGCTTGCTTTAAAATATGGATAATATATGTATACATATTATATGAATAATAACTAATGGTACGAACTGGTTCCCAACAAAGCATACGTGTCCCAAATAGATCGTATGGTCAGACTGGGTGACTTAATTGGTTGATAAGGTGTCATCGTACACCGACAGCATGGAGCGTTGCTCACAATATCAAATGCTGAATTTTCTGGTCCAGACTCCATTACTAGTATTTACTGGCCACCGTCATATAGCTAGAATATTGCAATGTGCGACTTAAACAACAAACTAACACATTGTATTATTAGCAGTTGTGATGATATTAAAGTACAAATTGCAATGTGTGGTTTAAATAACAAACTGAAATATTGTATTGTGTTCCATTATGATGCTATTAAAATACAAACCGCAAGTGTGAGTGTTCAACCTACCATCATTGTACGCTTGTCCTTTGGGTGATTTCACTTTCCTCTCCTTTCCTGGTGCGTAACACAAGAAAACAGATGATGTGTAGATTATGTTGCTGTAAGACTGAGATACAGGACAATGCAATATAATTAATTCTGTGCACTGTAGTTACGAATTGAAACACTTTCAAACAAACAGTTTCTTCTCCTGCTGCAATTAATCCAAACGGTCATTGGTATAGAGTATGTCAGTATGGAACAATCGATCAAGGTATTTCAGTTCAATCAGGGTGCAACAGCTGAATGTGTGCGGACAGCCCCTAATCTGGTTGGACTTCTTTGTAAAACCCACGATCCCTTACACGGGATTGCCTCCGTGGTCTAGTTGAAGAGCGTCCACCTGGAGTGCGGAAGGTCGTGGGTCCGGTACCCGGCCGCGTTATACCAAAAGACGTTAAACGACGGTACTTTTTGTTACCCTGCCCGGCACTCGGCACTAAAGGGCTAAGGCAAGAACTGGTCGGCTCGGCGTCAGTATACTTTGTCCAAATGGGATATTCACGTAACATGCGTCATAGTATCTCAGTGGGCTAGCACTATTAAATCGGCATTAGTCCTGACAAGTACAAGTAGCCACACACAAACACACGTTTAATTGCAATGATCTTGAACGCGACGGTAAACCCCATTTAACCTCACCTCTGACACGGTGTTGAGATGCCAAGGATGATAGCAATGGATCGGGGTATTTCAGTTCACTCAGGGTACAACAGCTGAATGTGTGAGGGAAGCCCCACATCAGTGTGGACGTGGACTGTTTTATAAAACCCACGATCCCTCACGCGGTGATAAGCCATAATAACTGGGGCTTGTGTGGAAATCCAATGGACGGGCCGAGGACTGTCTGCCCAGTAACTTACAATGGTATACAGTACTGGGTTTTACAAAAATGGACCAAGGGACATAACATGGTGAAAGTTTACCTCACGACCCGAGGCAGCTGAGGGCGTTGCGATTCGTTTGACAAATGGGGCACCGTGTCTCACCATTGGTTTCTCGAGATAGGCATCAGATCACATGATAAGTTACAATGTGATATCAGTCCGCCTGGCGGAGTAGGATGATCAGTAAAAGTATGTATAAACTGAATGCATATGAACCATGCAAGGTTGCACAAATCAAACGGGTAGTTTGTCAAGCAGCGTCGACGTACCTCTTTTTTGACGTATGTTTTCGCTCATTTCAAGCTGGATGTTGCCGTAGTTTGTGCCCGAAGCAGTTCCTAGCAACACACAGAGTTTTCAGTTTATACAGTTCTACCTCGTCAACACTAGCTACTTTAAGGTACTGGCAGAATATTAATCCTTATCGTCACTAGGGTCTTAAACAGGCACTCTGCTTGTCTCGAACTACGGATTAATCGAAACACATTTCCTTTATAACTCCTTAGTATTTCGAATACTAATTTAAGCTGGTTCTTTCATCAGCCTGTTATCTACCTTGTACACACAAAAACAAATACTTGTGAAATTTCATATGGATTACTTGTGAATACAAGCGACAAATCCTTTCCCTATTCATAAGAAATCTCTGCTAAAATAGTTCGTTGTACGATACCGATTGCATCATCAGCAAGTGTTTATGAATCCGAAAGCCTGATGAACGAGGGTCAGGCTTAACTTTCATTATCTGATTCCTTATGCTTTAAAGCGGTGACAAAGTACCTTTTTTTTTACGTATGTTTTCTTCATCTTCAAATCCAGTGTTGCCATAGACGTGGGCAGGATTCCCATCTGGAACATTGTGTTATTTCAGAAGAGTTGGTTCGATTTCACATATATCATGGTTTGTGTTTTGTCTGTTTGTTTAACGTCGCACTCATCAATATTCCAGATATATGACGGCGGTCTGTAAATAATCGAGTCTGGACCAGACAATCCAGTAATTAATATCATGAGCATCGATCTACGCAATTGGGATCGATGACATGCATCAACCAAGTCAGCAAGCCTGACCACCCGATCCCGTGAGTCGCCTCTTACGACAAGCATAGCCGTCTTTTACGGCAAGCATGGGAACTTTGTGAAATACGCGAGGACGGGCGAGGGGCTCACAAACATAATTACGCTTCGTTTAGTTTGTTTAACGCCGCACTAAGCAATATTCTAGCTATATGACGGCGGTCTGTTAATAATCGAGTCCGGACAAGACAATCCAGTGATTGACATCATGAGCATCGACCCACACAAAATTTGATTGCATCAACGAGTAACCTGCGAGTTTCTGGAACACCTTGGGGACACAACTGTGAACAGAGAAGCGCAGCACCTTAGATGACTTGCCATTCAGTCCCTTTGTACAACTGAAGAAAGAGACCCGTGAAGATTCCGGGGTAGAATAGGTCTTCAGCAACCCATGCTTGGCGTAAAAGGTGACTATGCTTGTCGTAACGGCGACTAACGGGATCGGTAGGTCAGGGTCGCTGTCTTGGTTGATACATGTCATCGATCCCAGTTGCGTGGATCGATGCTCATGATGTCAATCAGTGGATTTTCTGGTCCCGACTCGATTATTTACAGACCGCCGTCATATAGCTGGAATATTGCCGCGTTAAACAAACAAACAAACAAACAAAACACAAGCCATGATATATGATATTAATCACTGGATTGTCTGGTCCAAACTCGATTATCTACAGACCCCTGTCATATAGCTGGAATATTGCTGAGTGCGGCGTTAAACAAGAAACCAACCAACCAACCGAAGAAAGAAGTTTTTTTATGTTTTATCTCTGTGTAAATAAAAGAAACGTCTACGCCAGAGAATAAACACAATCAATTAACCGTCGAAACAGATTTTATTGGGTGCAGAGGGCTAAATAGAGGAGATAATTACTTCAAAGGATTAATGAATATCAGTGATGACACCAGGTGTTCGTGTAAAGGGTTAGCATATCCTGCTCTACCAGTTGCACCTGCGACATACACAATTTACAACAAATAGTAAGTATTTGTTTCCTGGCGCATAAAAGAATGACACCCATTACTGCAAAGACACAGGTCTTGCTGTGGTTGAGGGTACTTGAAAGGCCTTGTTACAATGGTCATTCATTGCATGGAAGTTGACTGTTTACGCCATATCTTTACAAATAATTTATAAACTCATTGAACAATATGATGACTTCATGAAATATTTATAATACTTATCATATTTTTTATCATTACAGTACATTATGGCTCTGTACTCTTTCGTTTCTCCAATGAAATGTTATGGTATATTTATCAACAGCATCACATAAAGAATTAATGTATATGTGGTGTACTATTTTCTGTATTGATGCTCGATGGCTAAGCATTTGCCTGTTACCTGTTGTTTGTGACAAGCCAATCTCGCAATAGGTATTCTCAGGACCTGGAACATAAATTACACTGTTCTTATTTTTCTGAGGGAAAGACAGAGTAGTCATAGACAAAATACCGGACAAAATGCATTAATTCCCAACTTTCGGAACTTCCCAGGCTTTACAAACTGTTCTGTCTAAAAACTAGTACCATCTTACCCATGTGTTGTTGCAGCGGTAGCCCCCGCCACTCACACACTGTGCATAAAAAAGTAAGTGTCTGTTGCCTTACGCCGCACAGCTGTACTGCTGTTACTCGAGGGCGACCTACAGACACACTATTCTTGACCGTACAGTCATCACTTCTTTCAGTGGCATTTAGAAGTTGGTGTGATGAAGAAAGGCAATTTCTATGGATGAACAACTTCTTTATTACAATTAGTGCGACGTTTCGGTGTAGATCCTAACACCTTTATCAAGCAAGCGATGTATCGTACAGTCATAGTTACCAGAAAATCCACTGATACGATAGCGCTGATCTAATTGTAACTAAAACTCGTTTCAAAGTAGTTTCAATGCATATACTCGCCTTCACATAAGTGCCCTCCCGTTCGAAATTACGGCGGTGTTCTGTTTCCAGTGTATAGCCATTGTAACGGCTCACATTACAACTAAGGTGTTCATACCATTCAGTATATAATATATATAATATTGGTGTTCGTACCTCCACTAGGCCGCTCCACGGTCTCGTAATTGCAGCATCTTGAAGGGATTTCATCTGTCCTTGACGTCTGTTCAGATCTAACATAGATACACAATTATGAAATAAATATTCGAGGATCCATAGGACACTGTAATCATGTTCTTCTTCAGCATATTTTAGGAGCTCAAAACGCAGAGCTCTTCGAATGTACTCTGACAAATTAACGTGCAGTGAGGTTCACAACAGTGCTTCAGACAAAAAGTTATAGTGAGTGAGTAAGTTGTTTTTAACGTCGCTTTTAACAGTATTCCAGCTATATCTCGGCGTGTCAGATTAATGTGGGAGGAAAGCCCGAAGTGTTGCAGGTCTCCGGCGTTTCCCACTTCGGTGAAACACACGAGCACGGGTAGGGTGCTGACAAACCTAGAAACATAATCGGGGCGAACTGGGATTCGAAACCACAATCATAGGTTTCTGGCGTGAGTTATAAATAAAGAGCAAAAATGCTATTGTGGTTCATGTACAGGTAGATGTCACCTTTCAGGGGGAAATTACACATTAAACATGTTTTGTTTATTACATTAAAATAAAATATATTTACTTTTGAGGGTTAGAAAAACAGTGAGGCTAATTTTGCCGCACTTGATTTTCGTATTAAAAACAAAATCATGGGAAGGAAACCTTGATAACCATCACACGTTTTAGAATTGGAGTTTCCTCTTTTCAAAGTTTGCTAATTTTGGTTTAATGACACCCCCAAGTGCATACAGTTAGATGTGATGAGAACATAGAGAAGGTTAATTAGAAATCAAGGACGTTGTCTTCAGTTTTAACTTTGATCCAAACTAAATGTCTGATAGAGGCGAGAGGTGAAGGGAGTGAAGCATGTTGGGGAAATCTCACCCTCTCATACACCCGAGCTATCCGTCATTATTTTTTGCTATTTAAAGCTTGAAACCTTCGTCAAAAAGGCAAGCCTTCTGGTATTTAATCACATGGTCGATTCCATTAGATTTCTTTCTTCCTTTGAAACCTGATGATTATTCGCCTAAAATGGTCTTTGTAACATCTTATACTTAAGAATTTACATAAAATCACGACATATTATTTTCACAGCAAGCAACAATCACTGGTCAAAATTATATCGATAATAAATACTATCTCAGGCAGAATCGGTCGAACCTTGGAATGTTTTGTGTATCATATATCTTGAAAAAGGATAAGAATTGACTTTTCCATATTACAAGTTGAATCATGAAGTGACAGCAAAGGCTGGTTAAGATGTTGTGATGATAATGTAAGAAAATTGCGATGTAATTCTCACCATAACTGTAAGTAGATTTCCATGACCGTGTTACTAATTTTACAGGCTGTTACGTCTCTGTCAAATAGCCTGTACAAACGTGAGACCGTAACAAAACACACTTACCTCTTTGGCTCATGCTCAGCTAGAAATAAAAGAAAATGAAAAGCAAATCAGTTGTCGGTAAATGTTGTTTTCAGAACTTGACTTGTTCAATACTATTTTCATTCAACAGCAATTACTATAACTTTTGATATGTGCATAGAATTGTTAAAATAAATAGTAAATGGTGAAACGATTGTGTACTTGATTGTGTGTGCATATCAAGTGTCATTGATGCTGTCAAGTTATACCACAAATGCACGTACATTTTGCAGCATGCAGTCTCCTCCTCAGGTGAATAACGATGATGATGAGGATGATAATGGTAACTATGCCAACAGATCCTGTTACTATGGCAATCAGTTTATTCTGGCTTATAGTGTCATCACTTCCGATAAACGAGGAAACTTGCACTGTGACAGAACAGATTATCTAAATGAAGGCATGGAATTGCACTACCAAATACACAAATACATATATCTTGGATAGAGATGATATCTATTGAAATTGTACTGTACCTGGTTTTGCCAACCATCAAGTAAAACATTCCTGAAATGTGCGTTCCACAACGTTCAGGCTGACAAAAGGATTACTTACAGACCCTGATCCTTGCTTGTACAGTAGATGTTCCCTGTTCATTCGTAGCAGAGCACGATAGGTTTCCCGCATCATCAGGAGACACATGCTTCATAAACGTCTGTCCATGACTGATATAATCGTTGTGACACCACGTGTACGAGGTGACAGCAGGGTTGGCGTCGTCGACGACACATTCGACTTCAACGGCATCTCCAGCCATGACACTGATGACATCTTGCCTTGGTGACAGGTGGATCTCTGGTGGATCTTATGTCAGATATAATGTTTTAAAAATCATAAATCACATAATTCTGAGAGAACAAATCATTTTTAGTTTAAAAAAATCATTTTTAAACAGCATAACTTATTTAAAAATATTTTGTATAACTCGTCTATATAAAATAACATAGCACATAAACACATGTTTGTAGCAAGTAATAAGAATGCATGCAATAGTTTTTGACATAGCTTACATCTGACGTTTACAGTTGCAACTGCCCGTCCAGGTGTCATCATGTGTCCATTATCAGCAGTACAGGCCAGTTCTCCTTGGTCAGACTTTGTTATGTTACGTTTGAGGAATGTCGATCCATGGCCAGTAACTGTTTGTCCGTTGTGAGACCATCGGACTGTGTGGACACTAGGGTTACCATCATCCACAACACACCGTACACTGAGGTCCTCACCTATATCGACATCCAGGGTGTCATTTCGTGGTTCCAGATGTACCACTGTGGGGTCCGAAAACATTAAGAATTAGTCGAGAGATTAGTGGTATCATTCTGAGCAATACAACATAGCGACAAAACGCCATTGCATAAGGTGTAATAAAAAGATTATGGTTTGGGTTACATAAACTGAACATGTGCAGTGAGACTATTCTTGTATCCTCATGGTTTTGTTTTTGTTTGAATGTGCAAAGAAGTTGGTAATAGTAAATCGTAAATGTCAGCATTTAAACAACTTTTGTTAGATATATACAGCCAACAATGGCATCATTGTCTTAACAATTCCTCACTTTTATCCACATATTGTACATTGAAATCCTTGTTAAATACTGAAATATTTAAAATGTATTAGATCTGCCTCGATAAGAAGATCTATAGCTAAGTTTAGGCGCTGTCCAAACAGCTTTAAAATGAACACATATAAACATGTACATAATCACAATCCGTTAGACCTTTAACGTCCATATTGTGGAGAAGGAGACAAAGACGAATATCATATACTGTTTTTATGCCCACATTATGCTGAAACTCGAGAACAGTATTTAACTGTGTATTATTATAAATATCAATCGACAAACTATTGTTAACAGGAAACACTATTGTGTTACGACTCCACCCTGTTTGACAATGGTGACCTGTTTTGGAGGATCTTAGGTGAAAAAAGATATAAAGATCAACAGCATATGTGACTCAAAAGTACTTTTCATCACCTGTCTATATATAAATAAACATGAGACATAAACACATGTTTGTAGCAAGTTTCGTTTCGTGGTTCGAGATGTACAACTGGCGTGTCTGAAGACATTAAGGATCAATCAAGAGATTGGTGGAGTCATTCTATATAATAAACTGCCGGGCGAAAGAAACTTGTTTAGGAGCTCCATAAAAAAACCAAAGACAGATGTTATCGATATAATGATTATTTCAATGAAAGGAATCATTTTTCGATGTCCGTTCATAATTGCAATGCCATATTGATAGTGCATTTGCCATAAGTCCGAGCGAAAGAGACACGGGGTCAAAATAAAAAAAATACATAAATACGAGTCCATTCAAAAGGTGCTCATAAAGTCATGTGACAAAACATGTCGTTAGTAGCGTGTGTGACCACCCCCTGCATCAATGTACGCCAAAATACGTCTTCTCGTGGATGTCGTTCGTCGCCGGATGACTTCAGCAGGAATTCTGCGCCACCAGTCCAATAAAACCTCTTCAAGCTGCTGTCGTTTGCTGGGGAGGGACGCATTGTCTCAGCTGTCGATCACGATGATCCCAGAGATGCTCTATGGGATTCATGTCTGGAGAACATGCTGGCCAAGGCAATACGTTGTTGTTGTTAACGTTGTGCAGATATTGGTGAACAAGTCTGACCCTATGAGGTCGTGCATTATCCTGCTGCAAAAGGGTACCCCTTGGCTGTCCACGTAAGAATGGCACTGCAACAGGTCGCAACACTTCGACCTTGTATCAGATTCCAACGGATGATAACAAGCCTTGTTGTCCGCCCCATACCCTCCACCATAAGGGTGCACATCTTGGATGTATCGGTTCCTCAGGTGGATTGTCCGGATGTAGCGACCCTTGCATTTTGCGACCCTTGGTTTTTAGGATCTTGAACGGGCTTGTGTGTGGCCTGTGTGTGGCCTATGTGTGCCCACAGTTCCCCAAGATCCTGTTTTCCCATTTATCATGACTGCACGAAATTCATTGAATCCTGCAAAACGTGACTTTCATGTGTGCACAGGGTGTGTTTTGGTGAATGTTTTCTGATAACGTTCTAACTTATCGCAAGTCTTTAATTTAGAAAAAAAACTCAATTTGCAAGTGATAAGTTTTTTTTGCCCGGCACTTTACAATACAGCTGGAAAACTACAAAAAATATATAAGTGGTAATAAAGACAGGCAACTAAACATTCCGCACTACCATAACCTCATTCTACCCGAAGTACACTCGTACGAACTGATAGCTATGTGTATCCTCCCGCATCAACCAAGGGGTTTGTTACATATCCACACACAATTTGTATTATCTTCTACTTAATAAAAAACAATTAAACCCGATGTCACGATCCTTACGTTTATCCTAGAAGCGTACCCACTCATGACTTTCGTAATTCTTAAAATGGGTAATGTAGGTATTTCTTTTTGTTCACATTATTAACACCATATTTGTACCCTTTTGACATTAACCTTTTTTACATATAAATCACTTACACCACACGTTGATTCGAGTGGAGGCGTGGACATTCCCTACACTGCATGTTAAACTGCCAGAGTCGGACTTGGATGTTACTGTTTTACTGAAGGTCTGTCCACTGTAGGGATGTCCATTGTGAGTCCAGCGGAACGAAGTGACCGTGGAGTTGGAGTAGTCGACCACACACACGACACCGATCACCTGACCAAGGAGGACGTTTAGGACACTTCCTGGCGGCTCCAGGTGGATTACCAGGGCAGCTGAAAATTGTTCTTATTATAATAGCAACATTCCTTGGAACTGAGACAACCAAAGGAAGGCGTGAAATGAGGGTAATTACGGCATATAAGATTCGCATCACACAAATTAGGGAAGGCAATACTGGGCCTTACATGTTACATGTATTGTAGTCGCTGCCCTTCCAGGTGTCATCATGTGTCCATTATCAGCAGTACAGGTCAGTTCTCCTTGGTCAGACTTTGATATGTTACGTTTGAGGGATGTTGACCCAGTACTCGTTTGCCTATTGTGAGACCACTGGAATGTCTGGGCACTAGGGTTGGCGTTATCCACCACACACCGCACACGGAGGTCTTCAAATCAACCTCCACGGCATAGCACCCAACAACATTCCTGTGTTAAAGGCACCTCTACGGCATACAACCCCACAACACTTATGTGTCAAACTAACCTCCACGATATCCCCCCACCTCCCCCATCAGTACAGTGTCGACCGCCTAGGTGGTCTCGTGGTAGAGCGTCCGCCCGGAGAGCGGAATGTACTCACCCCACCTCACCTCACCTCACCTCACCTCACATCACATCACATCACATCACATCACATCACATCACATCACCTCGCCTCGCCTCGCCTCGCCTCGCCTCGCCTCGCCTCACCTCACCTCACCTCACCTCACCTCACCGCACCGCACCGCACTTCACCTCACCTCACCTCACCGCACCGCACCGCACCGCACCGCACCGCACCGCACCGCACCGCACCGCACCGCACCGCACCGCACCGCACCGCACCGCACCTCACTTCACCGTTACTCACCTCATTAGAGTGTCAAACCATCCTTTGATACATACCAGCCCAGTTTGTTACTGTCTAATACCCAACCCCACAACACAACACGCTAACATTACTACGTCTCTGACGAACCTAACGACAGAGCACGCTGACGTTACTACGTCTCTGATCCTCCCCTACGACATAACACGCTAACATTACAACATCTCTTACCAACCTCCACAACATAATCAGCTAAAATTACCTCGTCTCTGACCCACCCCACGACATAACACGCTAACATTACTACGTCTCTAACCCACTTCCACAATATAATACGCTAAGATCACTACGTCTCTGACTCACCTCCACAACATAACACGGTAACATTGCTACATCTCTGACACCCCCTAAACATAACACGCCAACATTACTACGTCTCTGACCCCACCTTCCCCACGACATGACCCACCTCCACGACATCATACGCTAAAATTACTACATCTCTGACCCACCCCCGCGACATGAAACGCTAACATTACTACATATGTGACCCACCTCCACGACATAACATGCTAACATTACTACATCTCTGACCCACCTCCACAACATAACATGCTAACATTGCTACATCTCTAACACACCTCCACGACATAACACGCTAACATTACTACATCTCTGACCCACCCCCACGATATGAGACGCTAACATTACTACATATGTGACCCACCTCCACGACATAACACGCTAACATTACTACATCTCTGACCAACCTCCACGACATAACATGCTAACATTGCTACATCTCTTACCCACCTACACGACATAACACACTAACATTACCACGTCTCTGACCCACCTACACGATATAACACGCTAACATTACTTCGTCTCTGACTCACCTCCACGACATAACATGTTAACATTACTACATCTCTAACCCACCTCCACGACATAACACGCTAACATTGCTTCATCTCTGACCCACCTCCACAACATAACACGCTAACATTGCTTCATCTCTGACCCACCTCCACAACATAACACGCTAACATTACTACATCTCTGACCCACCTCCACAACATAACACGCTAACATTACTACATCTCTGACCCACCTCCACAACATAACACGCTAACATTACCACGTCTCTGATCCACAGCCAAAACATAACACGCTAACATTACTACCTCTCTGATCCACCCCCATGACATAACACGCCAACATTATTACGTTTCTGACCGACAACCAGGACATAAATGCAAACATTTCTACGTCTCTGATCTACCCCCACGACATAACAAGCTAACATTACTACGTATCTGACGCACCTCCACGACAAAACACGATAAGACATAACACACTAACATTACCACGTCTCTGATCCACAGCCAAAACATAAGACGCTATCATTACTACATATGCGACCCACCTCCACGACATAACACGTTAACATTACCTCATTTCTGACCCATACCCATGACATAACACGCTTACATTACTACATCTCTGACCTACCTCCACGACATAACATGCTAACAATACCACGTCTCTGATCCACAGCCAAAACATAAGACGCTATCATTACTACATATGCGACCCAACTCCACAACATAACACGTTAAGATTACCTCATTTCTGACCCATACCCATGACATAACATGCTAACATTACTACATCTCTGACCTACCTCCACGACATAACATGCTAACATAGCTACATCTCTAACCCACCTCCACGACATAACATGCTAACATTGCTACATCTCTAACCCACCTCCATGACATAACACGCTAACATTACCATGTCTCTGACTCACCTACACGACATAGCACGCTAACATTACAACGTCGCTGACCCACCCCCACGACATAACACGCTAACATTACTACGTCTCTGACCCACCTACACAACATAACACACTAACATTACTACGTCTCTGACCCACCCCCACGACATAACACACTAACATTACTACGCCTCTGACCCACCCCCACGACATAACACGCTAACATTACAACGTCGCTGACCCACCTCCACGTCATAACACACTAACATTACTACGTCCCTGACCCACCTCCACGACATAACACGCTAACATTACAACGTCGCTGACCCCCCTCCACGACATAACACGCTAACATTACTACGTCTCTGACCCACCTACACGACATAACACACTAACATTACTACGTCCCTGACCCACCTCCACGACATAACACACTAACATTACTACGTCCCTGACCCACCTCCACGACATAACACGCTAACATTACAACGTCGCTGACCCACCTACACGACATAACACACTAACATTACTACGTCCCTGACCCACCTCCACGACATAACACGCTAACATTACAACGTCGCTGACCCACCTCCACGTCATAACACACTAACATTACTACGTCCCTGACCCACCTCCACGACATAACACGCTAACATTACAACGTCGCTGACCCACCTACACGACATAACACACTAACATTACTACGTCCCTGACCCACCTCCACGACATAACACGCTAACATTACAACGTCGCTGACCCACCTCCACGTCATAACACACTAACATTACTACGTCCCTGACCCACCTCCACGACATAACACGCTAACATTACAACGTCGCTGACCCACCTCCACGTCATAACACACTAACATTACTACGTCCCTGACCCACCTCCACGACATAACACGCTAACATTACTACGTCGCTGACCCACCTCCACGACATAACACGCTAACATTACAACGTCGCTGACCCACCTCCACGACATAACATGCTAATATTACTACGTCGCTGACCCACCTCCACGACATAACATGCTAACATTACTACGTCCCTGACCCACATCCACGACATAACACGCTAACATTACAACGTCGCTGACCCACCTCCACGACATAACACGCTAACATTACTACGTCCCTGACCCACATCCACGACATAACACGCTAACATTACAACGTCGCTGACCCACCTCCACGACATAACATGCTAACATTACTACGTCCCTGACCCACCTCCACGACATAACACGCTAACATTACTACGTCCCTGACCCACCTCCACGACATAACACGCTAACATTACAACGTCGCTGACCCACCTCCACGACATAACACGCTAACATTACAACGTCTCTTACCTACCTCCACGACATAACACACTAACATTACAACGTCGCTGACCCACTTCCACGACATAACATGCTAATATTACTACGTCGCTGACCCACCTCCACGACATAACACGCTAACATTACAACGTCGCTGACCCACTTCCACGACATAACATGCTAACATTACTACGTCGCTGACCCACCTCCACGACATAACACACTAACATTACAACGTCGCTGACCCACTTCCACGACATAACATGCTAATATTACTACGTCGCTGACCCACCTCCACGACATAACACACTAACATTACTACGTCTCTTACCTACCTCCACGACATAACACACTAACATTTCCACGTCTCTTACCTACCTCCACGACATAACACGCTAACATTACAACGTCTCTTACCTACCTCCACGACATAACACACTAACATTACAACGTCGCTGACCCACTTCCACGACATAACATGCTAATATTACTACGTCGCTGACCCACCTCCACGACATAACATGCTAACATTACTACGTCTCTGACCCACCTCCACGACATTACACACTAACATTTCCACGTCTCTTACCTACCTCCACGACATAACACGCTAACATTACAACGTCGCTGACCCACTTCCACGACATAACACACTAACATTACTACGTCCCTGACCCACTTCCACGACATAACATGCTAATATTACTATGTCGCTGACCCACCTCCACGACATAACATGCTAATATTACTACGTCTCTGACCCACCCCCACGACATAACATGCTAACATTACTACGCCTCTGACCCACCCCCACGACATAAAACGCTAACATTTCTACGTCGCTGACCCACCTCCACGACACAACATGCTAACATTACGTCTCTGACCCACCTCCACGACACACCACGCCCACATCACTACTGTGAGAACAGCTCGGCGCTGTTCCCCATCCAGAGTGGGAACACTGATCCAGGGAAGTCTCGGTTCCCGTACAGTCGACGTTACTCAGCCAAATAATTCCTTCACCTGGCCCGTAAGATGTAGTCACAGAGGCGGTCGTCCTAGAAAATAATAGAGATGATTGCCTTGCTAATTCGTCATTTTCATTTTACTGATGCTGCCAACAAGGATCTATACCGAAATTTCACTGTAAAAGTATATTAAAGAGTTTATTTTCAAAAGGTTGAATCTATTTTGACTTCCAAGAAATACCTTTACAATTCACATGTTCAATGTATTCCTAATGCAGTAAGGGTCTTCTAGATTCAATAGTTAACAATATCACTTGCAAGAACCTTATTACGTTAGTTTCAAACAGATACTAGTTTATGAAATAAGAAGGGAATAGAAATTAAAGTGACCGTGACACATGACAGGTGTCGATTTAGTCATACAAAGTTTATGTAGAAGAAAAACGCTTTTGACACCAAACTCTATCAAACCAAGATGAATTCATTACTAGAGAAGTATGAATAAGTAGGCTTCATGAGACCCATGACTAAGCTCGAGTTTAAAGGTGAATAGTCGTGCGAAGATGTACTCACCAGGGCAGATTTGCCATTTTACACACAACTTGTGCCTCCTGTGAGGAAAACGACGACCTTCTACAAACTGTTCCCCAGACATTGTTGTGGAGTACTTCTACCCGACCCCGTCCGAGAGTTGTCGAATTCAAGCGTATGTGAAGATTAGCTGGAACAAAGAAAGCCACAGAAGGTCAAACATGTCATTGTTTGCATCACCTTTATCTCTATTTTGACACATTATTCCTAGCTTTGACACATTATTACTACAGTTTTGACACATTATTCCTACAGTTTTTACACATTATTTCTACAGTTTTGACACAAAATACAACTTACCAGAAAGACACTGTATTCGGGCTACGCTTGAGGAACAGGTAACACTACCCCATGGATAGTGAAGACATTCATTGAGAGAGAGTTCTGTGCCAAGACACTTGACTTTATCTAGGATGACATGCCTTGATGAACTGCCGGTGTTTAAATGTAAGCTGGCGAGGGCCCCACTACTATATATCAAGTAGAAAGTGTCAAATAGTTTCAAATCAATTGATAAGATCATTGAGAAAAAGGTCAAATATGTGTCAAATGTGTATCTAGTTATTTGTTATAGAATAGTGGCTTGGGAAGCCACACTTCATTTTCGTTATAAAGTATAATAATATTAGTTGTGTAGATTGACTTTCCACACAAGAAAAGATATCCAGCTATACTTGGTTACAACACAATCTCAATATATGTTTTTACGTGCTGTGTCCCAACATTCTACAGACAACTGTTGCCTCTTCCACTCCGAACCCAGTATAGCAGACTCGACCCCATTGTCCACCATGGTACAGCTCCAGCACTCCCTCCCCTGGCGTGCTGGTGGTGGATACAAGTCTTGCCGCTGTAGAATCTGACGAAGACATCATGCTGATATTATTTGGATATTATTTGGATAAATCAGCTGTTGGCCTGCATACATTTCAATTCCACAGAATCGTAACACGGACGTTTGAGGTCATAATATAGTCATATAATTGCAGCCATGTAAATGTTTTAACTAGGTCAGCAAGTTCCAAGAGAAATCTAGCACTGTATATCTTCATCTTTCCTAAATGTTTCATTTGAGAATGAGAGAGCGAGTGGGTATGTATTTATGATGTATGTGTTTGCTTATGTCAGTGTTATTTATGTATTATGTAAAGCATTCATTGGTATGTTATGTGTAACACATAATTCATGTTTTCTAAGGTAACCCGTTTTACCTAAGTAAGTATATTTGTCTTTGTATTTGTATTTAGATGCAGGCACCATAAGTCCTGTCAGTTGTGTTGGTGAACGCAGTTCCCGCCCCAGTTTCACCTGCAGGGTATGATCGTACTTTCTTTTGTATTAATGAAATTAATTAATTGCATTTATCATATTATTACACATGTATATGAATACAAATGTATACAAAGTTATTGTGAATTATAACACATCCTTCAATGTATTTGTTCAAAGCAAGAGTTCTTTCTATTTCTATGATGTCGTCGGTTTGACGATGTGAATGAATATAACATAATGTGATGTGCTCTTACATATCTATGTTTGTGTATATTAACATACATATATATTTACGTGTATATTTATCTTTCAGTTATGTTTCAGGGCGTTTGTTCTGATAATAAATCCTCATGACAAATAACGACCTGTGTTATTCATGAACACCCCCGGTTACATAAATGCATTACAGAAAATCAGTGATGACAGTGTTCGCGAATATGGTCTACTGGTAGCACCTGCCAGCATTTTCATAAAGCCTGATCAGACAATCGAGTGATCAGTATCACGAGGAATAAATGATCCAAAGCATACCTTCAGGAAATGAAAAACACTGGACACCTACAGCTTCTGAGTCGCTACAGTCATCACTCCCCCATGGTCTGTGCTTGCAGTCTTTAAGATCTGTATTCCGCATCGTGCACTGCACGTCATCTAACCACATTGTTATTGAACTGTTATTATCGATTACCTTTCCCCCTCTGAAAATAAAGAGAGAAAAGACACCTTTGCAAAAATAAACATTGTTATATCAGCTATACGTGTTGGTGGGTGAGTGAGTTTGGCCTAATGATGCTTTGGACATTAATTCAGTTATACCACAGCTTGTCAGGCTGACGTGGAAAGAAAGTCCAAAGTGATGCAGACCTTAGACGTTCACCACTTTGGTGAAACAACAAGCATGGGTCTGGTGCTAACAAACCTAGAAAATCGGGATTCGATACCAAGTTGCGTTCAATTCAAATGTCACATTCGAACTCTTTGTGATGCTTATGTGGTGATATGTAGCGTTCCCTTTTAGAGTGAGTGAGTAGGGGTTTACACCGCTTTTACCACTTTTCCCGCAATATGTAAACACTGAGAAATGGGCATCACACATTGTACACATATGTGGCATCGAACCAAAGTTTTCGGCGTGACGAACAAACGTTTTGATGACAAGGTAACAGCACCCCTTGTGCCTGTTAGAGATTATGAATTTCCAGGAAGTGGCTACAAGACGCAAGTATTTTTTGTTTTATGTGTTTGCCCAATTCCATTGTTAATAATCCTAGGTTGATGTGTTTAAATGATAGATAAGCATTTAATTAAATATTTGGGTATATAGAAAGACGTTGAACTACAACTTACTGGTACCCCAGGGCCCTGCACACAACTGAAGCTTCTATTTGGCCAAACTCATCATCACACACTGTGCCCCATCTACCGGAGTGGTACACCTGTAGGAGTCCTTTGTTGTAGTTCGGTGTCAGCTTCATCGTTATGTCACCTAGTAAAACAATGTAACGTAAACTGTCCTCTTGTTGTGATGAAAACCAATATCGTACACATATGTAATGTTTAATGGTAAAGATACCTGTCACTATATTTACCATTTTGACCAATTTAACCATACGTACATCTGTCAAGTCGACCGGGTCGAAAGCTCTATTGTTAATTAGTATGGGACAAGGAACATATAAAAAATACATATGTTTCATCTCAAGCATGCACTCGAACACAAACACTGACTTTGATACTCTACTATGTGCATATAGCGTGAGAATGGTTTGGTAAAATGTAATACATTTTTTACAAATGCTGTGGCCGAACTCAATTACCGGTTGTTAACATTAACAGCGTACATATTAAATTACTGATGTGAACTGTTGTCTGACCAGCCTTTAAACTCAAGCACAGTCCCGAATGGAGTGTAGGATCTTACGAACGTCGACGTTCTGTCACAGAGTCTTGTTGAGTGGTGTCGGGTTTTGTTTATGTTGAACATATAAAATTATGTCTACTATCGAGGCTGCAAAGAAGGATATCTATTTTTGCCTTCAACCCACCACTTGAAAAGCACACCAGGAGTATTACATCAGCCGGTATCCACTTCGCAATACTACATACGAAATAACACACATTCATTGATGGGTATTGGTGACGGTTTAGTAATAACTAATGAATGTGGAGAGGTCAGGCGGCTTGTACATTATCAGAACGAATTCACGGATTCGAACCAGCGATCGTAGATGTCTGGCATGCCTAGGGGACGCATCTCTGCATAGAGAATTGCAGCGCCCTCTCTTGTTGATGTTTTCTCCAGCGTGTACGTGGTCACCTTTTTCTGATCATGACCGTGTATAAACAGTGAATGATAAACAATGCTTCTGATATTCAAGTAAATATATGTTCCGGCAATAACTCACTTGGATCACATATGATGCCAACATCTTCACCGTGACTACAATCGTTGTCGCCCCATGTGTTGTGTGAACAGCTGGCCAAAGATGACTCGGTACCGGAGCAACTCACGCCATCCAACCAAATCTTTCCTCCTCCAAACCCAAAAGTTTCAATTGCCCTTGGTGTAAGTCCGCTTTTACTAAACGTACAAAAATAGTTTCATTTAATTACAGCAGCACAACATTATGATGACAATGAATAATCAGAAACGGGGAATAATGGACCTCATCTGCCTCACTACACCCAATAGATACTGTCATAGCATGATGCCCATCTCCAACACATTCTACAAGTACTATTGTAGTGTGTTGTGATGTTACTGTTAGTTATTGTCTAGCCCTAGGTACTGCGTGTAAGTAATATTTTAACGTGTCCTGGTGTTGTGATATCTACCAAACCTACCTCAGTACATCATACACCTACGATTATGACATAGTGTCCTACTATTGTCACATCTTCACAAACCTAACTCAATATATCATACAACTACGATTATGCACATGGTGTCCTACTATTGTCATATCTACCAAACCTACCTCAGAACATCATACACCTACGATTATGACATGGTGTGCTGTCATTGTCATATGTACCAAACCTACCTCAGTATATCATACAACTACGATTATGCACATGGTGTGCTGTCATTGTCATATGTACCAAACCTACCTCAGAACATCATACAACTACGATTATGACATGGGGTGCTGTCATTGTCACATGTACCAAACCTTCCTCAGTACATCATACAACTACGATTTTGCACATGGTGTCCTACTATTGTCACATCTACCAAACCTACCTCAGTACATCATACAATCACGATTATGATATAGTGTCCTACTAATGTCACATCTAAACAAACCTAACTCAATATATCATACAACTATGATTATGCACATGGTGTCCTACTATTGTCATATCTACCAAACCTACCTCAGTACATCATACAACTATGATTTTGACACGGTGTCCTACTATTGTCATAGTTATCAAACCTACCTCAGTAAATCATACAACTACGATTATGACATGGTGTCTTACTATTCTCATATCTACCAAACCTAACTCAGAACATCATACAACTATGATTATGACACGGTGTCCTACTATTGTCATATCTACCAAACCTACCTCAGTAAATCATACAACTACGATTATGCACATGGTGTCTTACTATTGTCACATCTACCAAACCTACCTCAGAACATCATACAACTATGATTATGACTCGGTGTCCTACTATTGTCATATCTACCAAACCTTCCTCAGTAAATCATACAACTACGATTATGCACATGGTGTCCTACTATTGTCATATCTACCAAACCTACCTCAGTACATCATACAACTACGATTATGCACATGGCCTGGTGTCCTCCTATCGTCATATCTACCAAACCTACCTCAGAACATCATACAACTACGATTATGACATGGTGTGCTGTCATTGTCACAGGTACCAAACCTACCTCAGTACATCATACAACTACGATTTTGCACATGGTGTCCTACTATTGTCACATCTACCAAACCTACCTCAGTACATCATACAACTACGATTATGCACATGGTGTCCTACTATTGTCATATTTACCTAACCTACCTCAGTTCATCATACAACAAGGATAATGCACATGGTGTCCTACTATTATCATATCTACCAAACCTACCTCAGTACATCATACAACTACGATTATGGCCTGGTGTCTCTCGACCTCAGTACATCATACAACTACGATTTTGCACATGGTGTCCTACTTTTGTCATATCTACCAAACCTACCTCGGAACATCATACAACTACGATTATGGCATGGTGTCCTACTATTGTCAAATCTACCAAACCTACCTCAGTAAATCATATATCTACGATTATGACATGGTGTCTTACTATTGTCATATCTACCAAACCTAACTCAGAACATCATACAACTATGATTATGACACGGTGTCCTAGTATTGTCATATCTACCAAACCTACCTCAGTAAATCATACAACTACGATTATGACATGGTGTCCTACTATTGTCACATCTACCAAACCTACCTCAGAACATCATACAACTATGTTTATGACTCGGAGTCCCACTGTTGTCATATCTACCAAACCTACCTCAGTAAATCATGCAACTACGATTATGCACATGGTGTCCTACTATTGTCATATCTACCAAACCTACCTCAGTACATCATACAACTACGATTATGCACATGGTGTCCTACTATTGTCATATCTACCAAACCTACCTCAGTAAATCATGCAACTACGATTATGCACATGGTGTCCTACTATTGTCATATCTACCAAACCTACCTCAGTAAATCATGCAACTACGATTATGCACATGGTGTCCTACTATCGTCATATCTACCAAACCTACCTCAGAACATCATACAACTACGATTATGACATGGTGTGCTGTCATTGTCACATGTACTAAACCTACCTCAGTACATCATACAACTACGATTTTGCACATGGTGTCCTACTATTGTCACATCTACCAAACCTACCTCAGTACATCATACAACTACGATTTTGTACATGGTGTCCTACTATTGTCACATCTACCAAACCTACCTCAGTAAATCATACAACTACGATTATGCACATGGTGTCCTACTATTGGCATATTTACCAAACCTACCTCAGTTCATCATACAACAACGATTATGCACATGGTGTCCTACTATTATCATATCTACCAAACCTACCTCAGAACATCATACAACTACGATTATGACATGGTGTGCTGTCATTGTCACATGTACCAAACCTACCTCAGTACATCATACAACTACGATTTTGCACATGGTGTCCTACTATTGTCACATCTACCAAACCTACCTCTGAACATCATACAACTTCGATTATGCACATGGTGTCCTACTTTTGTCATATCTACCAAACCTACCTCAGAACATCATACAACTGCGATTATGACATGGTGTGCTACTATTGTCATATCTACCAAACCTACCTCAGTACATCATACAACTACGATTATGCACATGGTGTCCTACTTTTGTCATATCTATCAAACCTACCTCAGTACATCATACAACTACGATTATGCACATGGTGTCCAACTTTTGTCATATCTACCAAACCTACCTCAGTACATCATACAACTACGATTATGACATGGTGTGCTGTCATTGTCATATGTACCAAACCTACCTCAGTGTATCATACAACTACGATTATGCACATGGTGTCCTACTATTGTCATATCTACCAAACCTACCTGAGTACATCATACAACCACGATTATGGCATGTTGTCCTACTATTGTCATATCTACCAAACCTACCTGAGTACATCATACAACTACGAGTATAACATGGTGTCCTACTGTTGTCATATCTACCAAACCTACCTCAGAACATCATACAACTATGATTATGACATGGCGGCTGTCATTGTCACATGTACCAAACCTACCTCAGTACATCATACAACTACGATTTTGCACATGGTGTCCTACTATTGTCACATCTACCAAACCTACCTCTGAACATCATACAACTACGATTATGCACATGGTGTCCTGCTTTTGTCATATCTACCAAACCTACCTCAGAACATCATACAACTACGATTATGCACATGGTGTCTTACTTTTGTCATATCTACCAAACCTACCTCAGAACATCATACAACTACGATTATGCACATGGTGTCCTACTTTTGTCATATCTACCAAACCTACCTCAGAACATCATACAACTACGATTATGAGAGGGTGTCCTACTATTGTCATAGTTATCAAACCTACCTCAGTAAATCATACAACTACGATTATGCACATGGTGTCCTACTTTTGTCATATCTACCAAACCTACCTCAGAACATCATACAACTACGATTATGACAGGGTGTCCTACTATTGTCATAGTTATCAAACCTACCTCAGTAAATCATACAACTACGATTATGCACATGGTGTCCTACTTTTGTCATATCTACCAAACCTACCTCACTACATCATACAACTACGATTATGACATGGTGTGCTGTCATTGTCATATGTACCAAACCTACCTCAGTGTATCATACAACTACGATTATGCACATGGTGTCCTACTATTGTCATATCTACCAAACCTACCTCAGTACATCATACAATCACGATTATGGCATGGTGTCCTACTATTGTCATATTTACCAAACCTAACTCAGTACATCATACAACCACGATTATGGCATGGTGTCCTACTATTGTCATATCTACCAAACCTACCTGAGTACATCATACAATCACGATTATGCACATGGTGTCCTACTATTGTCATATCTACCAAACCTACCTCAGTACATCATACAATCACGATTATGCACATGGTGTCCTACTATTGTCATATTTACCAAACCTAACTCAGTACATCATACAACCACGATTATGCACATGGTGTCCTACTATTGTCATATTTACCAAACCTAACTCAGTACATCATACAACTACGATTATGACAGGGTGTCCTACTATTGTCATAGTTATCAAACCTACCTCAGTAAATCATACAACTACGATTATGCACATGGTGTCCTACTATTGTCATATCTACCAAACCTACCTCAGTACATCATACAATCACGATTATGCACATGGTGTCCTACTATTGTCATATCTACCAAACCTACCTGAGTACATCATACAACCACGATTATGGCATGGTATCCTACTATTGTCATAACTACCAAACTTAACTCAGAACATCATACAACTATGATTATGACACGGTGTCCTAGTATTGTCATATCTACCAAACCTACCTCAGTAAATCATACAACTACGATTATGACATGGTGTCCTACTATTGTCACATCTACCAAACCTACCTCAGAACATCATACAACTATGTTTATGACTCGGAGTCCCACTGTTGTCATATCTACCAAACCTACCTCAGTAAATCATGCAACTACGATTATGCACATGGTGTCCTACTATTGTCATATCTACCAAACCTACCTCAGTACATCATACAACTACGATTATGCACATGGTGTCCTACTATTGTCATATCTACCAAACCTACCTCAGTAAATCATGCAACTACGATTATGCACATGGTGTCCTACTATTGTCATATCTACCAAACCTACCTCAGTAAATCATGCAACTACGATTATGCACATGGTGTCCTACTATCGTCATATCTACCAAACCTACCTCAGAACATCATACAACTACGATTATGACATGGTGTGCTGTCATTGTCACATGTACTAAACCTACCTCAGTACATCATACAACTACGATTTTGCACATGGTGTCCTACTATTGTCACATCTACCAAACCTACCTCAGTACATCATACAACTACGATTTTGTACATGGTGTCCTACTATTGTCACATCTACCAAACCTACCTCAGTAAATCATACAACTACGATTATGCACATGGTGTCCTACTATTGGCATATTTACCAAACCTACCTCAGTTCATCATACAACAACGATTATGCACATGGTGTCCTACTATTATCATATCTACCAAACCTACCTCAGAACATCATACAACTACGATTATGACATGGTGTGCTGTCATTGTCACATGTACCAAACCTACCTCAGTACATCATACAACTACGATTTTGCACATGGTGTCCTACTATTGTCACATCTACCAAACATACCTCTGAACATCATACAACTTCGATTATGCACATGGTGTCCTACTTTTGTCATATCTACCAAACCTACCTCAGAACATCATACAACTGCGATTATGACATGGTGTGCTACTATTGTCATATCTACCAAACCTACCTCAGTACATCATACAACTACGATTATGCACATGGTGTCCTACTTTTGTCATATCTATCAAACCTACCTCAGTACATCATACAACTACGATTATGCACATGGTGTCCTACTTTTGTCATATCTACCAAACCTACCTCAGTACATCATACAACTACGATTATGACATGGTGTGCTGTCATTGTCATATGTACCAAACCTACCTCAGTGTATCATACAACTACGATTATGCACATGGTGTCCTACTATTGTCATATCTACCAAACCTACCTGAGTACATCATACAATCACGATTATGGCATGGTGTCCTACTATTGTCATATTTACCAAACCTAACTCAGTACATCATACAACCACGATTATGGCATGTTGTCCTACTATTGTCATATCTACCAAACCTACCTGAGTACATCATACAACTACGAGTATAACATGGTGTCCTACTGTTGTCATATCTACCAAACCTACCTCAGAACATCATACAACTATGATTATGACATGGCGGCTGTCATTGTCACATGTACCAAACCTACCTCAGTACATCATACAACTACGATTTTGCACATGGTGTCCTACTATTGTCACATCTACCAAACCTACCTCTGAACATCATACAACTACGATTATGCACATGGTGTCCTACTTTTGTCATATCTACCAAACCTACCTCAGAACATCATACAACTACGATTATGCACATGGTGTCTTACTTTTGTCATATCTACCAAACCTACCTCAGAACATCATACAACTACGATTATGCACATGGTGTCCTACTTTTGTCATATCTACCAAACCTACCTCAGAACATCATACAACTACGATTATGAGAGGGTGTCCTACTATTGTCATAGTTATCAAACCTACCTCAGTAAATCATACAACTACGATTATGCACATGGTGTCCTACTTTTGTCATATCTACCAAACCTACCTCAGAACATCATACAACTACGATTATGACAGGGTGTCCTACTATTGTCATAGTTATCAAACCTACCTCAGTAAATCATACAACTACGATTATGCACATGGTGTCCTACTTTTGTCATATCTACCAAACCTACCTCACTACATCATACAACTACGATTATGACATGGTGTGCTGTCATTGTCATATGTACCAAACCTACCTCAGTGTATCATACAACTACGATTATGCACATGGTGTCCTACTATTGTCATATCTACCAAACCTACCTCAGTACATCATACAATCACGATTATGGCATGGTGTCCTACTATTGTCATATTTACCAAACCTAACTCAGTACATCATACAACCACGATTATGGCATGGTGTCCTACTATTGTCATATCTACCAAACCTACCTGAGTACATCATACAATCACGATTATGCACATGGTGTCCTACTATTGTCATATCTACCAAACCTACCTCAGAACATCATACAATCACGATTATGCACATGGTGTCCTACTATTGTCATATTTACCAAACCTAACTCAGTACATCATACAACCACGATTATGCACATGGTGTCCTACTATTGTCATATTTACCAAACCTAACTCAGTACATCATACAACTACGATTATGACAGGGTGTCCTACTATTGTCATAGTTATCAAACCTACCTCAGTAAATCATACAACTACGATTATGCACATGGTGTCCTACTATTGTCATATCTACCAAACCTACCTCAGTACATCATACAATCACGATTATGCACATGGTGTCCTACTATTGTCATATCTACCAAACCTACCTGAGTACATCATACAACCACGATTATGGCATGGTGTCCTACTATTGTCATAACTACCAAACTTAACTCAGTACATCATACAACCACGATTATGGCATGGTGTCCTACTATTGTCATATCTACCAAACCTACCTGAGTATATCATACAACCACGATTATGGCATGGTGTCCTACTATTGTCATATCTACCAAACCTAACTCAGTACATCATACAACCACGATTATGACATGGTGTCCTACTATTGTCATATCTACCAAATTAAACCTACCTCAGTACAGCATACAGCTATGATTATGACATGGTGTCCTACTGTTGTCACGTATACCAAACCTACCTCAGTACATCATGGAAGAAGTTTTATATGTTAGGGCAGTTTACCTTTTCTCTGGTCGCATATCTCAGAACATCGTATTAGTACCTTCACAATAATGTGCAAACATAAGCAAACGTTTGTTATTTCGCCATTGCTTTTCCTTCATGAAATCAGCAATATATCCCCATTAGTTTTGTTTGTTTCGTTTAATGAGTGTTTAACATCAATATTCCAGGTATGCGAGGGCGTCCTGTAAATATACCAGGTCTGCTGTACACAGCGTGTCTTACTATCGTCCCAGTTGTTTGCAGGCCACCTTGGCTTCATCTGCCCCAAAGCCATCGTCACAAACGGTGCCCCATGTGCCGTTATAGAACACCTCAATTCTCCCAACACCGTTGCTCAGGGGGGACACCAGTCGGATTGTCTGGCCAGACACTGAAACTTTAAAATGGTTTCGCAATATAAAACAAATTCGTCCTGGTATTTAACATCTTGTACACATGTGTCAGCAACAAACGCCAGTACAATATATTATGTGAAATATTCAAGCTGTAAAGAAAGATATTTAACTTTGGCATTCAACCTACCACTGAAAGAAATACATGCCAGAAGTATTATATCAGCTGTTATCCACTTCGCCATATTGAATACAAAGTAACACACATTCGTGGACGGTTGACCCGCTGATACACGAGGAGTGGCCCTCCCTGCAAGGTCGGACGGCTTACGGCGTGATCAATTTCTTCTTTTTTTCACTGTGGAGCTTCCTGGTAGATAGCGGGATATGCGTAACTTCACAACAATGTAAATAGGGCGCATTGAGTACCGTTTCCCATGCCTGTCTGCATTCGTGATTGAGTGTGTCAATATTTGAGTTGATAAACGTGTTATTGTGAATTAGTATATCCCTGTCGCGACATACATAACCCCACCAGGATGCTAGGTAAGATAAAAAATGATATTAACTCTCTAAACTCCAGAAAGAACAAAAACGAATCAATCATCCCTGAAGATCGTCATAGACGCTTTCTCGTTGTTGTTTTTCGTCGCCTGACGTTGTGCTTGTTCGTGTCGTTATAAGACCAAGCAATGCACACATATACAATGTACATGAAACGGCATTTGGAGGCCATTCATTCAAAGAAACCAAAGAAAGGATTTGCTTGTGTGTAACCTTAGGCAGCATGTGTCGTTTACCTATCAGACTATTTATCCCCGGCCTTTTTTGTCCATTACCCATTACCAATCAGTGTGATTTAAGTCCTGGCTTCCAGTTGTGCATAACTGTCAGTGCGAATTACTGTAATGTGTTGGCTTCCATTGTCTATTGCTAATCACCTATCAGCGCCAATCATCTGTTGGCTTCCCTTGTTAGTTTCCACCTTTTGCTATCTTATTACTTTTGTTGTCCTTACATGTACATATATATGTTCTCTGCCTTATATCAGTCATTCACGTGATGAAGGAGCAAGCATATACTTCAAAACGTTGTGTTCCTCAAGATGATGAAGTTGACATCCATAAATTCTCTTCTTTATGTTTTATCACTTCTAAATGCCTTTCAAAGACTTGCCTTGGCGGTATTTTCATATATATTTTGTTGAATAGCTATGGTCCCCACTGTGTTGCAAACCGAACATGTTTTTTATGTGTTTCAGCAAAACCTCTGCCCGTGTAGGCAGCGGAAGTAACTCAAAAATAACTTATCGTGTTTAGTTTCGGAAAAGGCAGTGAATGTGCCGTTGTGTCTCTTGATTTTAAGGTTACTATCACCAGATTGTCTGGTTTATTTAAATGCCGCTGTCTCATGACACTAATACTGCTGTACGGCGTCAGTCAACAAACAAACACTTACTTTTTATGCAAATACGTGTGAGTGGTAGGTGCTACCAGTTGGGCAGTACATGCTTACCCTTTTCGTGAACACCTGACATAATGACACCCCTCACTGACTCAAGTTGAAAATGACACGTTAATCACAGGTAGACTAAACTATGGAAACAGTTGGACTAAACGGTGGACCCGTGAAGATCCGGGGTAGAATAGGTCTTCAGCAACCTATGCTTGCCGTAAAAGGCGACTATGCTTGTCGTAAGAGGCGACTAACGGGATTGGGTGGTCAGGCTCGCTGACTTGGTTGATGCATGTCATCGTATCCCAATTGCTGGATTGTCTGGCCCAGACACGATTATTCACAGACCGTCGTCATGTAGCTGGAATTTTACTGAGTGCGGCATTAAAAAAACAAAAAAACTAAAACAAAACATGTCATGTGAGGTGCATAAACAAGACACTTACCACTGACAATCAACGCAGCTAGAAAAACCAAGTGAGTCCCGATCCTGTGCTCCATGATGAACGTGGTACACAAGGGAACACTAGGCCTCACACTACGTTGTACATATGGCTTATATTATCCTCACATGCCCCTTCCAGAACTCCGAGTATATTCGAACCTCCGTTCGCTAACCAGGGAATCTTTATCTCTACTGGAGTATTTAATTTCCGGGTCGACCGCATGCAGCCTACATAACAGGGTGGCCAGTGATTCATGTAGAAGACGTTTCAACCAGGAGGTTTATAATCCCACGAATTCGTCTTTCGCTAAGCTCTATATATGCGTGCACAGTACACGTGACAAGATAATATATCTGCCTCATGAGGCGATTTGTTTTCACAAATGCAGTTGGTTTTGGACATTAATAACTTTGTGGATTCATGACATAAGGATATCTGAGACACCAAGATGAAAACATGTAACTCTGAGTTGTTTTTTTATGAATTAATTTTTCTTTATTGTAAAATGTTTTCCGTGTTTGTAACTTTTACACAACTAATTTGTTTTCAAATGAGAACGGATCAGTTACCACATTATTACTTGTAATATTTGTTTTCTTGGGCTTTTGTGATTGTAACTTTTAGTTCACCATGATCCAAAGAAACATTTCGCATTTTGCAATTGTCCGACCGTCGTCCGCGGTTGCTTATCTGACGTCCATCTGAAAAGCTTAAAGGGATGGAGAGAGTGAGTGAGTGAGTGAGTATGGTTTTACGCCGCTTTTAGCAATATTCCAGCAATATCACGGCGGGAGACACCAGAAATGGGCTTCACACATTGTACCCATGTCGGCAATCGAACCCGGGTCTTCGGCGTGACGAGCGAACGCTTTAACCACTAGGCTCCCCGGCCGCCCCTTGTTACAGTAAACTATGGTTATAACGAACTCAAAGGGACCACTAATTTTAGTTCGTTATAACCGCAGTTGGTTACTAACATATATTACAGCTTGTATACAGCAAATATACAGCAAATGGACGGGATGAAAACACATTTCGTTATATCCGTCAGTTCGTGATAAGCGTGTTCGTTATAAACGTAGTTTACTGTAGTATGTTTTAATGAAACACAAATCAGATCATGAATATTTTTTATATGATGATGCGTAAGATGCAGGATTGAAGAAACATGTACAATAATTCCTAAATATTACAAACAATGTTCACACATAAATTGTAGATGTTATAATTAAAATATGGCGTATTTTAAAAAAAGCAGCATTTATGATCACAATCACACATTATGCAGATTTGTTCTGGAAGATCAAGCACTGTTTGATCTATTCATTCTTATTCACTTATTTTTATGTTGGAATGAGGATATCTACGTGCATACTGCATCACTCTAAAATGGTTTCAGAGTGGCCAAGTAGATGAGCAGCTTGCTATCTTTAGTACCGTGTTGTCCGTGTAAGAGTGAGTGAGTGAGTTGGGTTTAACGCCGCTTTGAACAGTGTTCAAGTTATATTAGGGCATGTCAGCTTTACGTGAGAGGAAAGCCTGAATTGACGCAGGTCTCAGATGTGTACCACTTTGGTGAATCTCACGAGAACGAGTATGGTGCTGACACAACTATGCACAGCGAATTGGCCACTCTGGAATATATATATTCCAGTTACGAATTTGTGATCCCCCATTAAGCTCCAAAATGTATAAACAGCGGCAACGTGAAAGACATCGTTCAACCAACTACTACAACGTCTAAATTAAATTAAAAAAGAATAAAAACCTTTTGCCCCGAAATCCACTCACGAGGAAACAACCAACCCGTCAGGACGGTTTTGAAAGAAGATTTATTTGAACAGTAAAATCGATGAATGCAACATGCCACTGTAACTAAGGTTCACTGCATTTAATCTTGGGATAAGCCAGGCTGCAGATTGCACGCCTGTAGTCCTTGTTTCATTCTTATCAGCCTGTGTCAACTTGCTCTCAGTGCATACATAACAGTTACATATTGATTTATTAGTTGTATTTAACATTTATCTTTCCCTGGACCGAGTTGGGGACAAATAACGAACGTAGCTTATGTTGTTGGGCGTAACAGTTTCAACATGTGTAACAAATGTGTTCAGACAACACAAACCTAAGTATGGGGATGATGGGTTTAGGTGTGTAGGCTGTAAGATGATACAAGTATCATGGTTTAAACGCCGATAAAACACACCAAATGTGTATTCCGTTTAGGATTTAAACACATCTTAGATCTAAACATATCTTGGAAGTGTTAACCTTCTAAACACATTTTTTACTTTGCGGTTGCCTCCCGTAGCCGTACCAGGATCCGCATGGATTGGAATCTAACCAACGGATTCCTGGGCCGTAATTGTGTCACTCTCCGATTTAATCTGACAAACACTGATATAACTGAAAATCATGTTTAGCTAATTTATACCACAGCTCTCCAATTACAATCTGTCGAACCCTAACGGTTCCACGTGACATTTCCAGTCGTCCAACATTATATTCTGACAAAAGATCATGTTTATCTCCTTCATGATTGGCCTCAATATTGCATTTGTGAATGAGTAAGTTTTTGTTTTGTTTGTTTGTTGTCTAACGCCGCACTCAGCAATATTCCAGCTATATGACGGCGGTCTGTAAATATCGAGTCTGGACCAGACAATCCACTGATTAATATCATTAGCATCGATCCAAGCAATTGGGATCGATGACATGCATCAACCAAGTCAGCGAGCCTGACCACCCGATTCCGTTAGTCGCCTTTTACGACAAACATTGTCGCCTTTTACGGCAAGCATGGGTTGCTGAAGACCTATTCTACCCTGGAATCTTCACGGGTCGAATGAGTAAGTGAATGATAGTTTTTGACGCACTTAGGTTTATTCAAGATGTATCGAACGATCTGAACCAGGATCAATGAAAAGATAAAATAAGAATCTCAGCAGCGAAATAAACAAAAACATTATTAATACAATACATAATTCACCTCAATACACTTATTCCATTTGTCCTTCAAGCTTAACCACGCCTCTGTGGCAGCCTTTATGTCCTCGTCATCCTGGAAGCGTCTTCCACGTAGGGCAGATTTCATTTGCCGGAACAGGAAATAGTCACTGGGGGCTGTCTGGGCTTTAGGGTGGGTGATTTAACTGTTCGAATCCAGATTCTCGACTTGTGAACCGGAGCGTTGGTAAGGAACTTTATTACAGCGCGTTGTTCATGTTTGAGAGAATCCATGATTGTGACCACCCTTAGGTGAATGAAGCCATCACATTGTTGTGTCTGGAACTTGTTATGACACGTGTCAACCTGATGTTATGACTAGTGTCACACCTGCCACAAGTTGACATTGTTTGTGTAAGCACAAATGGCCAAGTTGCAAAACTTTTTGAACACATCTCGTATTACAGAGGAATAAGTTGATAATGTTATAAGGTTAAAAAGGCATCTAAAAAACATTAGAAAATGGTAACAAATAATACCGTTTTAGCTGCAATGAGGAGTTGCATTAGATATAGTTTGTGACAGAACTTTTAGTTTGAAAGGAATCAATATATACAAGACATTTCACATTTATCACAAGTGTATTCTGAACATTTCATAATTATCATGGGATTGGTT